GGCAACTATTCCAATCCCAGTCATCGGGCTTGCAGTGAGGATCTGCTTTGTCGCAGACTTTCTTGCACTGGCACATATCCCAATTCCATGTTTTGCAGTTGGAATCGTAATTATCACACCACTTGCCCTTACAGTGGCAACTGTTCCAATCCCAGTCATCGGGCTTGCAGCGGTGGTCAGGGCGGTCGCACTTTTTTATGCATTTGCACTGGTTCCAGCTCCAGTTGTTGCAATGGGGATCAAAATTGTCGCACCATTGACCGTTACACTTGCAGCTGTTCGAATTCCAGTGTCCTGGCTCACATCGGGGTTCCTGCTGGTTACAACTGTGGTCGCGCTGGAGGTGCTTCACGGTAGAGTCACGTTCGTAGAGGCCATCTTCATACGCATCTGCCTCACGAGCTATACAGGTTTAGCCACATGCATTATGAGAAGGTCTAGAGACACACCTTCGAGGTAAGGATCTGTTACTGCAGAGGCAGCTGCGAGGCTGAGAATGAAAAGAAACAAGAAAGCCAGGTTGACCTTCATGGTTAAAGGGGTAATGATTGCTGTTGGCTAGGCTGAACAATGTGGGTGACACTTGCGTCAGATTAATTCCAACATTCAAAATTTGTAGCCATGACATCTCTGGCAGAACCCTTTTGTATGTAGAGCCTGGGCCAGAGCTGCAAGCGAGGATAGAAACATCATGACATAACCCAGTCTATTCTTAGTAGTATCACCTCACCTAGTCCTAGATAAACTCTAACATTAACCCTACTATCTGCGTAGGGAGATCCAAACCTGAATACGAATTTCACTTGATCCAAGGTACATAATACTATTCGCAGGTAGAACTCACCGATAGCTTGTCAAGGGCCTGTATGTGGTAAGGAGTCGGCTGATACATCCTACTGGGGTTAATTGTTTCAAACCTTTGCGCGTGAGCTATGGCATAGTCGAGTGGCTGAAATGTCTAGCCGTTCACAGTTGTATGCAGTTCCACTGGTCCAAGCCTGAGACCTGACCTATAGAGGTGTGAAAAATGAACACAAGCCTTGCCCAATCGGTATATCTAACCTCAAAACTTAAAACAATGAACCAGAAACAGAGCCCGTATAGTCTTACTTATATACAGTCTAGACTTCCTGACTGTAAGGTTTTGTGCTGGATTGTCCAGACGCTGCTCTGAAGTTCGAGGCACTATTAAAAGCAATAAAGTTCCGGTAGACACTTCTAGCCGGCGGTAGATCCATATAAGATATTCTTGGCTTCCGTCGTCGATTCTGGATTCAAACCTTCATTTAGCTTTCCTCCCTTTGCTTCTAACTTGGCAACTTGGCAAACACTCTGGTCTAGTCATATGATACCCGCGTCTAGCTTGGTTCGAAACCAAGACAAGAGGCTTGTTCTAGATACAGACTAAAGAAAGAATAAAGAGTATTTTGAGGCATTTATTCAGAAAGTCAAGAACGGAAATCCAGTCCGCAAGTAAACCGCTCCGTTAACCTATCCCCTTGTGAAGCTACTATGCCCTGCCTTGGGAACATGTCACGAGCTGCTTGGGAGTCCATTTTTCCTGGTTATGAATCTTGTTGGTGATGTTTGTGGATTAGATCTGTAAAGTTTTAAGGACCGCGCTGTCGCGTGCATCCAGCCCTGGCCATTTACATAAATACAGCTCGCTTATACAGCTGACCTTCTCAGAATGTTATAAGTTAAATATCCTGAAGCTATGAGGAAGGGAAAATCCTTGCTATGGCACACTGTGACAGGTCGAGGTCCAGGATTGACTGTGGCATAGCAGCTGGTCTATGTGCAGAGAATTCTACCGGACTATGATCGCACCTATTAAACGGGAGTCGAGAGATGTTGTGTTCCCCATACCAGAAGCTATAGATCAACTACAGCACTGGTAGATATCAAATAAGTGCTTCCATTCAGTAGATCCTGATTTAGCTCCCTGTGCAGAGATATTGGAAGCAACTTGGTTCATGGCAGTCGGCCTGGACTATCTCGGCCTACCAAGCATTCACCTTACCCTGGGCGATGAATCGTGTGGGGCGTTTGTTGTAAGATGGTGGGTATCTTGGGCGGAACAAAGGTGTTTAAGCTCACCCCGCGTTTACAGTGAGCCATGGACAACTCTATAAAAGTAGCCACAGGTGTACTAGTGGTAGTGGTGGGGGTCATTGAGGGCGACATATACCGACCCTGTCGATCATTTCCAGGCATGAGGGTCCCATTGTTCATTATGATTGTCTGATAATTGTCATTCGATTCGAGATCCAGTAAATAACTCAGCAGATCCTTAGAAGGTGTAAAATGAGTCAGGGGCAATGTGTTGGTTGATTAGGCTTCACGTGAATGCATGACAGCAGAAGCCCTACATTGGCAGTAGTCTCCTAGCTGCATCTCCGGTCCTTCCCGATTCGCGATATTTTATTTGTTCCATTTTCTCCATCTAAATTTCGGTGCCTCTTCGCCGAACATGAGTCGTGATAAGCGGTGTCTGTGCCCTCTTAGCGCTGAGTTCCAAAATACTAATAGGTACTAGTAGTCTAGCAAGCGGTGACGTTAACGAGCTATCTGGAGGACACCTGTAAAGCCTAGTAATTTCAGGGCTAGCAGAGATTTGTCTTGCCAGTTGTAATGTTGCGGTATTGCTTGATGGTGCCACATGCTTTATCAGCCACCTGTACCCTTGCTAAAGCTCGCCTTGCAAAACGGACAAAGGACCATGTAGACGATGGGCGCTGCGTAATTTAATGTATTCCCCGTTTGACACAATCGTACCTACTAAATGTGAATGTTGACACTGGTGCTCTCTATTGATGCGTACATGGTTCTATACATCAGCGCAAAAACGTAGGCCGAGCCCGCCAGCCTACGTCAGCCCCTCTTGAGCTCTTCAGTTGAGTCTTGTCTGCGCGTTTCGGAGATGCAGTTGTCTAGACCTCATATCGAGTCTATATACGCCGTCAACTATTTGTAAGAATAATCATGTGCTCTACTTCTTCTTGCATATCTATAATTTCAATACTAGTCCCTTAGTAGGGTAGCTAGAACGAAAAGCGTACTACTTCCGACAGTCCTAGACCCCATCCTTCAGCACTTCGGTGCCAATCTCCTAGCAATTCGGAATATCCTAGCTCATTGTACATTTTTGTAGGGTGTTGACCTTAACCTGAACCCAAGTCAGGTTCCAGCAGTCACGCCACAACAGCAGTACTTAATTGATTTATCAAACACATATATATCGGCTTGGCGGTAGCATTGAAGTTTCTTAAAATCCGTAGCGATAAATATATATTTAATCATTAGTGAGCACGTTTTTATAGCATTTCGGCTATTTCATCAGGACACAAGCCACACAAACACGTAATATTTTATCAAAAAGCACAGTAAATGCGTATAACAAGTAGTTGGAATGTCCTCATCCCAACTTGACCGCTCAGTGCTCAGCAAGCCAAAACCGGTGACCACCCAAAGATGGGAAGATTGATAAGATAAAAGTGGGGAGGAGTCAGGTGATAGGGTGGGCCCCAAGCCCTTTTTCGAAGTAGCTTAAGTGGAGCAAAATCAGGAAGTAGAGTACTAAAGAAATATGAGTCCCTGACTCGTGAGGTTTACGCTGATCTCATAGCGGAGCCTTGGTGAGGGCTGCTTAGGTACTCTAGTGATAGCAGTCACGTTGTAGTGTTGTGGACGAGAGAGTCATGAAGAATGACTGCCAACTCTGCCTAGTTACTATGTACAGGCTTATATGAATGGTTGTTTACACCTATTTTGACAAATACTACATCATATAACGTTTAAAAAATGTGGTCAACCTCAGAAGACATTCAAAGAAACAAAAGCTATGAGCGGTGAGCCTGACTCTTCTCATCCACTCAAAGTCCCACCTGGTGTTTGATGAACGGAGTCGTGTGGGGTAGGGCTATTGACTTGTCGTTCTAGATGTTTTTCCAAGACCCTTGGCAGAGCTAAGCCACCTTTTCTTTCTTTTGTTTCTCCGATAGGGATTTGAGTCACCCCCCGAAACCGGGCACCGAAGATTTGAAGACTTCCGTCGCCGAGGCTTGTTCTTCCTGCCAAGTACCTTGTGCAAACTTCATTGTGGGAAAAGGAACCACCTTTCGAGGCGTAGACGTTCATCAAGTGAGTGGTACTTACTTTCCTATGGTCGCCTCTCATTTGCTCCATGTCTCACAATGCTCCACCACGCCGATAGGGTAATTAGCTGCGGACAGCCCTATCGTGCGTATACTACGACTGCAAGATGACCCCCGAAGATCCCCTCGACCTACTGAGATACAAAACGGAAGTGAAGCCCACTAAGCGATGGATGCCTCTCGTCAGCGCATCAGATGAAAAGAACGATTTCTATGTGCAACAGAATGAATTGATCGATGGATTTCTGCAGAGCAGCCAGGAGGAGCGGATGGAGGCGGAAGATCATGCGGAGAACGGAGGGAAGGTCAAATTAGCTGTCCGAGCCAGCTTCGTCGTCAACTTCTGCTTGTTCGTTATCCAACTGTATGCCGCCATATCCACTGGCTCTTTGTCACTTTTCGCGACCGCTGCGGACGCCTTTATGGACCTCGTCTCCTCCATCATAATGTTGATCACATCGCGCATGTCCACTAAACCCAAGCCCTACCAGTATCCGGTGGGACGCAGACGGGCAGAAACAATGGGAGTCATCATGTTCTGCGCCTTGATGACTACCGTGGCGATCCAGCTTATCATTGAATCCGCCAAGTCGCTAGCAGCCGGCGAGACAGATTCCGAGAGCCTCGCTATGATCCCCCTGATCTGTGTCGGCGTGGCCATCTTCTCGAAATTCTGTCTGTTTGTGTACTGCTTCAGCTTACGGCGCTACCCTGCAGCCCATGTCTTTTTCATCGATCACCGCAATGACCTGGCCGTGAACGGCTTCGGTCTCATCATGGCTGTTGTCGGAGAGCGATTTGTGTGGTACCTTGACCCGATCGGTGCGACATGTATTGCACTTCTTATTCTGTATTCATGGGTCTCTGAAGCCTTCGAGAATATGTGGTTGTTGATTGGCAAAGGCGCCCCTCGGACTTTCATCAACAAGTGCGTCTACGTGACGCTGACTCATGACTCCAGAATTCAGAAGGTTGACACGGTGGGTTTCTGTCAAATAACTGTCTTTGTTTCCTCATATCTGATTGTCCCTTGTTAGTGCCGAGCGTATCATGTGGGTCAGCAATTTTACGTCGAGGTGGATATCGTGATGGACAAAGAAACCAGGCTCCAGGAATCTCACGACGTGAGCCAAGAGCTCCAGCGGAAACTGGAGGGGCTTACTGGCGTCGAACGGGCTTTTGTTCATGTTGACTATGAATATCTGCACGATGTTCATGAGGAGCATAGACCTATTTACGACACCTCGGGGCCGAGTCCTTCTATCAGATCTATAGTCAAGAAGTTCTTTACCTTGAATAATAAGGCCCTGGATGAGGATCAAAGGGTCTAAGTCGTACCAGAGGTCTTTCTCTCTCTTGACAGATAACATAGCTAGCAGGTACCGAGAGCCTCGTTATCTGAAACTTATATCTTCTGTTCTAGAACCGACACCTGGTCATTTACTGATGCGGGTCAAAAGTCTAACCACACACAAAGATCGATGTCTTTACGACCATGTATGAAGGTTTACTATCAAGAACGGATTGTCTTGACTCTCGGAAATGTGGTCAGTTGGATTTTCCCTAGGCGTGTTGTGAAAATGTGTCCAGGGCCATACGTGGGACTGAGCCTGAGTACTGTTTGTTATGTATTTGACTAGCCAATCCCTTTCTATGCGGGTAGTTCGGATTAAAGTGTGATTCCACTATGGCAGGGTTTTGCAAATTCAGAGCTCGGGGACGGGTTGGCTGCTTTACGCCTCTCGCCCTTATTAATCCTGAGTCCGGATGTAAAACCTTGCTATAACACTATATACTTGGCTATAGGCAAGCAAGTCTCAGCTCTTACTCGGGGCTGTATCAGGATTAGCGTAGTACTCAGGGCTTATCAATTCTGTCCGGCGATCATTGGGCAATCCAGGGTTGCATGAGAAATGTCACTCAAAGGGCGCGATGGTGCAATGGGTCCAAAATTACGTATCTTAGCTCACCTAAAACCCGCCCTTTATCCAAAACGTTCTCAGCGGCCATATCTTTCTCTCTGACGTCCTTTTTCATTCCACAAAAGAAAGCCAGTTCTAGTCAAATATTGACCGGCCAAATGGAAGTGACCGTTGAGCAAGACGTCAAGGCCCTCGAGGCCGTTGCGCCTGAAGGTCCCTCACGAGCACCAAATGACCAGACCATAGAGCAGCTGGATTTATTCGAAGCCCCCAAAATGCGTACCAAGCTGCGTATCACCGCTATCATACTCGCTCTCAATGTACTCGAATACCTTCCTTCTCTTCGTAACAAGCTAGTAGCTAACGAGTGTCAATTTACTTTAGCTCGTCCTCTTCGTAGGAGCACTCGACCAGACTATTGTCGCGACTTCAATCCCCACAATATCGGCGGCCCTGCACTCCGCTGCAGGCTATACCTGGATTGGAGGTGCATACCTGTTAGCCAATGCCGCCACAGCGCCCATGTGGGCCAAGTTTAGCGACATCTGGGGTCGTAAGCCGGTTCTCCTCGCGGCAGTAGTACTCTTTGCCATCGCGAGTATAATCGCAGCACTGAGCAAAAACATGGAGATGCTAATTGCTGCGCGAGCGCTGCAAGGCGCAGCGGGGGGAGGTCTCATGCAATTAGTGTTCATCGTCATCTCGGACCTCTTCAGCATACGCACCCGCGCGTTATACCTTGGTATGATGGGGTTCACCTGGGCCCTTGCTGGCTCAGCCGGTCCGCTAATCGGCGGCGCATTCACGGAGCTTGTTTCCTGGCGGTGGTGCTTCTGGATCAACCTCCCCGTCTGCGGGCTCTCATTCACACTCCTGCTGTTTTTCCTGGATGTGCACAACCCCCGCACAAAGTTACGCGAAGGCATCGTTGCCGTGGACTGGCTCGGCACGCTTTGCATACTAGCAGTCACTCTGCTATTACTCTTGGGATTGGACTTCGGCGGCGCGATATTCCCCTGGAGCAGCCCGAAAGTCATCTGTCTGATCGTGTTCGGAACAGCAATGATCGGCTTCTTCGTGTTCAGCGAGAAACGACTGGCCAAGTACCCGCTGATGCCTCTCAGCATATTCAGCAACTGGTCCAACAACGCCATCATCCTTGTCGCCTTCGCGCACAGCATGGTCTCCATCGGCGTGGAATTCTACCTCCCACTATACCTGCAGAGCGTCAAGCAGGCCTCGCCCCTCCGCAGCGGTATCCTGATCATACCCATGATGGTCACCGAAGCGGCCGTGGACATCCTAGCCGGCATCGCGATCTCCCGGACAGGTCGCTACAGAGAAATCACATGGGCCGGGCTAGCACTCATGACGTTGGGAACGGGGTTATATATCAACCTCGGGGTCGACACATCAGTGGCGAGGATCGTCGGGTTCGAGATCATCGGCGGGATGGGCACCGCGCTTTTGTTCCAAACGCCTGTCATCGCTATCCAGAATACGGTTAGTCAGGCGGATACGGCCTCTGCCACGGCGACCATGAGTTTCATCCGCAATCTGGCGACATCCCTGTCCATCGTGCTCGGGGGTGTTATATTCCAGAATGGTATGAACACTCGCCATTCATCACTCGTGGCCGCGGGTCTCAGTGCACCCGTCCTCGACGCCTTGGCCGGTGATCATGCAGCGGCAAATGTCGAAGTCGTCAAGTCTATCCGGGATCCTGTGCACCGTCGCGCGGCGCAGGGTGCTTATGCCTGGAGTCTCCGGAATATATTCATTGTGTATACGGGCGTGGCGGCTGTGGGGTTGGTGGCGGGGGCTTTTATCAAGCAGCGACATATGAGCACGGAACATACCGAAACGAAGACGGGGGTACAACGGTTGACGAAGCGCGAATCTAAATCCTAGTGATACGAGTGTAGGGCATAGATGTGGATTCTTTTGGTGCGAGATATCGCTCCGGTGGTCTTCCAAGCGGAATCTGCATTCCGTTGTAGATTCCGGTTGAGGTTTGACTCGAAGGGCTGGTACTGGGATTCTCAATATGGTGATTACCAATGAACGGCTAGGATATCTTGGGCTCAGGAATGAGGAATTAAATTTGACATCTGCTCGACTGATCTCCTGGGCAGTCTGGGTCTGCAGTGGGTTAGCTAGCTGGGATGCAGAAATGCTAGCTGCCTTGGGCGTAGGGGATATCGGGGAGTCTTTCAAAGATATGCAACTGAAACCCCTTTGTACTGGGGGGAGAATTGGGCCAAGAGGCGAATGTGATCACGCTTCCGAGATACCTATATAATGCCAACTATAGAGCAGCAGTACATACTTGAATAAACCGAAACTATCGTCTGCAATCACATATGTGTCTCACATACCTATGAAGATACCTAACAGTACACAAACAGTAGCATAATGAGACATGAAGGAATGCAGAAAGGATCATCAAGCAAGTGCAACATAAGCAATAAAAATACACCTGTTCTTAACGAAGAAAAAGCAGGATGACATCTTTGTAGTGAACTAGAAAAACTCTGATACTAATTTCCTTACTATGCATAAATTGCAGATAGGTCGTGTTCTGTCGTGGCTCCAGCCTGCATTATGATTCAGCTGAATCTGATTATGACTATGCCCCAAAAAGCAACATCTACCTCTCAATTTGTGGACTTAGGGTAGGACCTTCCTGGGGAATCATGATTCTTGGACCCGGCGAACAAGTGGCCGTAAAAGAGAAAATGAAGCTTTAGAGTACTGGATTCGACAAGCTTGTACACAAATTGATGTCAGCTCTAGCCAAGTTGGAACTTTATCATAAATTGAGACACTATCACTGCTGCCAAGTGAGCCTCACGATCGAAGTCTATTCTTTGTTGGTACACAATGTACATATAGGTCTAGTATAAATGGTATATCCAAATAAAGGATATTCACAGCGCTAAATCGCGGATGCATTTTCTTCGTGAATATGCAGTAGTCCACGGCTTCAGCATTGAGTCGCTACTGATCCATGCGGTGGGCCTTACCCTCAGTGCACGGCAAACGAAGCTGGAGCGTGGGTCTCCTGCGGCCGCTGGTTTGAGAGTTGCTCCGTAGACACTCTTATGGACATGAAAAACTTTGACAGTAATGAGGCCATTCTCCCTTCATATGAGGTCGCACCCGCATCACACATATGCATGGGATATCAACGGCCATTTAATCTTGCTCATCGTCTTTCCTTACCCTGTTGCCCGTCCACAAATGATCAGTACTTTGTGAGGGTCGACGAGTGCCACACTGGATGTATAAATGCCTTTGAAGAGAGCACAGGCCAACCGATCGTCTCGATTTCCAGGTTAGTCTGCCACATATAATGGAGCCTGTTATCGACGCCGTCATCAACTTTGCCATATCCCAAGGCTTGCCAGAGCTTCGCCCGTATTACATGCCATTCAGAATCTTCACGGTCTTCATCGTCATCTGGAAACGATAGCTCCTCACGGTGGTCAATGGAATACTCTTCTTCCCCTGATAATATCCCCGGGTTGTACTCAACATCATTCGAACACGGCTCTGTTCGAAGCTTCGGAAATATCCTAATCCACTCAGTAACAAGATTATAGAAGTTGACCCCTCGTATGAAGGGCAGCGGGTACTTGAACCACACTTGGTAAAAGCGCATGATTTCCAAGTACCGGAGTGGGAGCGTTCGTGACATTTGCGAGAGCGAGATGAATAACTCCGCGGAAGGCAGCTCAAGGAAGGTCAGGCGTGGGCAGTGATGTGCAAGATCTTCAAGCTCTGTGCCGTACACGCGGAACTGAAAACCCAGCCCCAAGACCTCCAAGCGAGGAAGGGCTCTCAATAGGTTAGATAGTAGGGGTTTCGTTACCTCGCCATGCCAGGTACCGGAAAGGACTTTCACAGAAAGCTTTTGTAAAAGCGGGCAGCCACGCGCAATATCCAGGAATGTTTCCATAACCTGATTTTCATCAGTAGCATCGAGTCTCAGATTTGGAAGCTCAAGGACCCGCAGGTGCTTGCATTTCGCAACCGCTGCGTTTATGTACGCGTCACTCGTAAGGTCCAGCAACTTGAATATTTGCAGGTCCTTGAACTTTGGCAATTGGACAAACCATTCTCGATCCGGACGGTCGATGTACAACGCCTTTAACCTTGGCCATAGTGGTTCCTCTTCCTCCTCTGCTAACGGGTTACCACAGCCGCGGATGGATAGTACTAATGCCTTGAGGTTTTTTTGTGCTCGGAGATGGGGTAGGAGCCTCCCTGAGAGTTCGAAGCGTTCGAATGCACCAAGTTCATGCCATTCCTCGATGTAAACAAACTCTAGATCACGAATCATCAGCAGTCGGCAGATACCACCAATTGCAGGATCATCTTCTGAGATATAAACTGTGAGAGCTTTGAGGTTTGGGAATTCCCCCTGTGGGGATTAGACATGTTTCTCAAAAATAGCGGTCATGAATTTGACGACGACTTACCCCGCCGTAGCATACTATGCGTGTGCAGTCATAATTATTAATAGCTAAAAACTCAACGGGGCTTTTACCAAGGTAGTCCGCAATTAACTCCAGACGAAGACGCATTATCTCAAAGGGGATCATGAGACTTGTGAGACCCCTTGGTTGTGCCCGCAGAAGCAGCCCGCACTGTGGGTGATAGCGCAACACGCGGACGAAGTCAAAGCATATAGGCCTACCACATGAGCCAACGCAATTGCGGGCTGGGTACTCGGGCGCAAGGAGAAGATGCTTCACAAGGCTCATATTTCGGGTAAAGCGCTCCGTTGATGCTACAAAGAGACAATTGAGTGATTCAATGCCCGGCGTACGGAATTGCATGTCGTTCAAGGAGCCCTGGTATAGGTTCTTTAAGGCCGGCACCATCCACATGCGATTCACGCGGGCACAGTTCAAAAGATCTGGGACCGTATCGACATTTTCCATGACGAGTCCGACGATTTCCGGGATCAAGAGAGGGTTTGTTGTGCATTGATAAGAATTGACAGCCATTTTGAATGGCAAGAAATGGAAGAGATAATTAGCGATGTACTACCCTTGGTCAGTCAATGAACAGATACAGGCCGATATGGCTCTTCAGGTTCGGCAAATTGTCGGCCACGGGATAGATAGATATCGAAGGTCAAAGCTATATGTTCCAAGTCAATGGTCGCTAGCCCTTCGCTCGGATATACCCAATTCAGCCGCTCCCAATTGCTAAGCCCAGCCCACAACGCACACGATGGTACGGACGCCTGGTTTTGACTAGTTGAGCATATATGGATATGTGCAGAGAGGAGCAACTGCGGCGTTGCAGGTATGCGCTCCTGGGACTCGAAATGGAATACAGTCTCTGCAAAGCGAGTGGATCCATCCATATAAGATTGTGGTCGATTTTCATTTCCCACCGCCCGGGAAGATTCTTTCAATGTTGTTCACGGTTGCCCGGTCTTCTTTCATATAATATCCTGCCGGCCAATAAAAGGCTTAGACTCAGGGCGGAAGGGAAACGCAAAACAATATATACAATACACGATTTACAGCCGCCTAAGGAGACAGGCCACCCAATATCCTATATGCCGTCTGTCTATCTAGAAACCTGGGTGAGTTACTGAAAAAGGCTGTCCGGACGCGCTACCACAACGCTCAGGGATTCGATTTCGCCCCTGTGTTAGGTTATGACGGGGTCACTGATCCTAGGGCGTCCATAACCGGGTTAGCGTGTCACATGGAACTCAACTCTACGCTAGTCTAATTATGGGTTGGCGCGCCTCCATTCATTTCTCGCCATTCTGAACTGACCCTATATACTAGATGGCTTGTAAGAAATAGCGAAGTGTCAAATGTGTGCGTGAATCTCCTATACGAGGGAACTTACTTAGATCGGACATGACTTGTTGGGAATTATTAAGTAGCGCATGAAACCGTAGCTCCTTGACACGGGGAGGTTGATTAAACCTATGGTTCTTTACTGGCAGATAGTATATCACTTCTTAGTCTTCATCAATTTATCTACGCAATGTGAATCTTATGTAGGGGTAAAGTATGCGAAAGAAGAATTGGGCGGACACGGAGAGAAAATGTAGAAGAATCAAACCAGAAATCATCTAAGCGATCATCGTCTAGAGGAGCTCGACAACCCTTTCCTACTCTGCTAGACATGGGTATGAAATATAGGTCTCCAAAGTCACCGAAAACCTACACAATCCAAATTCAACACTTTCGGTGCTGCTGCGGAATCAAGTTCCAAGTTCATCTATCAGACTGTTGTCATTGCTCCAGAGCGTGATCATATCAGTTCGATACATACTTAAGAAATGTCATGTAAATTAGACAAAAAAAAATTAAATAAATGAAAAGCAAGGTACAGATATGAGAAACATTCACGCAAGATCGGGAGTGTACAAATAACCACTGGGTATCTCAAACGTCGTAATATCGATTTTGGGCTTCGGCACATCGTCCCATGTTGCTGATAAGATCGTCTCATTATTTGCGAGCGGGAGAATATTCAGCATAGTGCTATAAGTCAGAGACCGTGAGCTTGCTTCATGCCATGTATCGTCCCCGTCAGTAATATCTGAATCCCGCGAAGCTGGGCCCCGTTGCGCCCAGGTACCCATGATGCTAGGATGCGACGACAGGCATTGATATGGCACATGTAGAATATTGGTGCATAGGAAGTTATACCCTAGATCGACAGGCTCGTCGATACCCACGTAGGACAACGCAGTCAGTGCTTTCCGGGCACCTTCGTAGGTAAATGCCATGGCCCACGAGCAGATGGCGTTATCGGCATTGAATATAAGACGATGGCTCTGGAAGTTGGGGTCCTCTGCCAAGGGTGGACGGACAAACTCGTTCTGGTGGGGTCGCGGCGTAACAGTCAAATCGTTAGGGATCACGTAGAACTTCGGCTCCCCGCGAGAATTAATTCCGCAATGTCCTAGCCATAGCATATCCCAGCCGTCGCCATACGGGGAGAATGGGATTCCCTGGGTTCCCTGAAGCGCCCTGGTGCCCCGTGCGAATTCGACCATCTGTGTCTTGATGTTCACGTCCCAGTCCGAATCATCTTCCATAAGGACAGCGCTGCTGATTTTGTTTTCCACGATACTATGCAAACCAAGCCTGCGTTAGTCCGACATGGGTATCCCTTTCCCGTAACAAATCACGTACTGTCGCAGAGCGTTCATGTGGGCACGCCAGCTTCCAAGCTCGGCCGGCTTATCGCGATGTTTCTCCTCCGTCCATACCTAGTCTGTTGTCAGGAGGGCCAGGTGCAGGGGTATCTTCAATGGGAACGAACACCTGGATATGCTTTAGGGGGTATATCGGCGGCACGGACACCTTCAAGCCAATCGACTTCCAGGCCGGTATAGGATGCTGCTAGCGCGATCGCATCGTGCTTATCGGTGCGCTCCTTGAAGCCGATAGCGAAAAGCTTCTGGAACTGAAGGAGTGTGTCAGCGGGAAAGTGGCGGGGTGGCGGATGGTCATCATCGCGTCCCATGGGGAACCTACCCCTAGAGTGGCATTCTTCACGTCGAGGAGGTTATCTTCGGCGGCGGCGGCGGCGTATGTGGTCGCTGCAATCCACGACCCGTCGGTTCGATTGCGAAACCATAGCAACCAACCTAGCGCGTAGGTGACGACTACTGCGACCGTTATTGTCCTGCAGCTGAAACGTTGCATCATGGCGATGAATTCCGTGACCGGAACGAGGGGATAAAGGCTGGCGTTGGCGGCGCGAGTGGTTTAAAAGACCACGGCGGCGGTGATGGACATTAGGGTCTTTTTCCAGGGAAGCGTTGGAGTGTCTTGTCAGATTTACCCACATCAGCTCGTTTCAACGATCGGCAGCATTTTCTCGCAGATGAGACTAGCGCCGCGGATTCGCTGGTCCGACTCTTGAGTCTTGGCGAAGGGTCAGTCTTTGACATCAGTTTCCGTGAGATTAGATTGGAGCTTCCGGTGGGGCCGAAGTCATCTTTTTCTTGGGCTTTTCAAATGAGAGTGTGTGAGACTTGTCAGTAGCCGCCCAGCTGCCTTTTCCGGGTAGGGCTGGATTATCGTTTTTCCCAAGTCAAGGCCCTTGCGGAGTGGGGCCCGTCTTTCGTTATCTTACAAAACGACACTCGACAGGCGGTTGTCGTAATTAATCTCGGGAAATTCAAATTGCCTCGCACGAATTGCAACAGGGACCCACACATGTCACGCAGTGTACTGTAAGTCTGTAACATTTCAAAAGAATCCATCCCGGAGCTGGATCTATCATCTATGTAAATATGGTGATGGGTTGATCTTTCTCTGGGTACCATAAGGAACCAAGATTCAACCCTTGGAAACGAAGCCAGGGAAAGAAAGATAAATAAAATAAAGTATCAAAAATAAAGATCATCCGCAACAATCCGATCGTCGACACAAATATACGTAAAACAAGGAAGGTGAAGACTCTTTCTGTTCTCTGCGGTTTCCAAGTTCCAATCAATATACAGCAGAGTAATATATACTTCTAATTCATGACGGTCCAGACAACCTCTAAAATCTGGGGAGGGCTAGGTTCCTCGGGCTCGTAGACATATACCTGTCGAAGTCGCCCATCCTCTAAAATTGCGCTCTTCATCCGATACGATTTCTTCCCTTCGTCCTTCGGCCGCAACGGTCCCAAACTGAACGCGTAGCCTTGTTCACGGGCCCAATCACTAGGATCCCACGTCTGTTCCATACCGGTCATGTCATTCATCGACGATGAATATTGAACCAAAGAGAACCCATTGACAAAGTACCATTTATCTGATATGCGCCAGCGCCGAAGCTGACAGTCATCGCCGCAGATGTCGGCCGCTCTGCTGAGGGCAACCACGTCCAGGTCGTACCACGATTTCCAGTGGTGTATAGAAAGTGGCAAGGGTCGGCCAGACTCGAAAAAGCCCGTCACGTCGCCGCCAAAGTCCACCTGGAAAAGTCCTCGATCCCAGGTGAGCTTGGTCGTAGTATGTTGATAGATACACTGGGAAATCCGTTTATCTCCATGGTCCTTGAACGCATAACATTCATCGTAGACGTCGTTCATCTGTTGAAGCAAGGGGATAGAGAGAAATATCCCCGCACCGCCATACGCCATGTATGAAAAGATATTCATTTGTCCCCAGTTCTCGGTCGGCGCGCCTATGTAATAGGGTTTCGTAGCATCATAGGTAGCAAGCCGTTCGACTAGGTTCGACATCGACGGGAAGAACGTATCGTCATCGATGATAACTGCCCATTGCGTATGCGCATCGCGATTATCCCAGAGGACTTTGGTCAAGCGGAAGTATCGGTCCAGCCATTCTTCCCTTGACTCGATGATGGTCAGCTTAATGTTCAGCTCCTGTGCCCGACTGAGAACCTTGGCCTTTTCCTTCTTGGGTACCACATCGACCATGGCAAAGATTCGAGCACCTGTGCCGCCAGCCCAGTGGGCAAACGGCTCCAACGACTCACTCAGTCGTTCCAGGGACGTAGAAACCCCGAAAGCCATATGCGATGCGTCCGCGCGTGCCCTTGGGATGGGGGCTTCGATTGTGACGGTGGGACTGCATCGCGCCTGCGAAAGAAACATCCGATGCTTATCCGTGTTTAACGAGATTTTCTGAAAGGTTGGGACGGGTACGTTCAATTTGTCGGAGAAGCCCGTAAACGCAGCTGACCTTCGTACCGCGATCTCCCAGCGCTCATATTGTGCCGAATCTTTGTATCCGTAGGACTTCAGAAGATCGAGGTCCACGTAGCAATCGCCAGACTCGGTTCCATCGTTCTCATTCTCGGGGGCAATCCCCTCCAGGGAAGTGAGTGGGACACCGTTGATGGGCTCTGCAAAGTGGTGGGATTTCGAGAGAAGAAAAACGATGCCCGCAGTGAGAAACACAGCGGCTGCAATGATCGATTTCACTGACTGACGCGTCCGGAAGAAGCGAGTCGAGGGCATTATTCCGGTGACATAATAATACCACAGCTAGTGACGAGAAACACAGACAACGTTGTTCCTATTCTAGCGTCAGAACAACCATTCCTGACCAAGGACTGTCTGGACAGGGATTGAGTCGGTATCACTCCAGACACGAGGAAAATTGGAGGGAAAATACGACCCAGGGAGCCAAGACAGGCCAAGTTGCTCTAGTACGTAGTCCGTAGTAAGGTAAAGACATGGTGTATTGTATGTATGTGCCTGGATACAAGGAAATACTATGCTCAGTACGGAGTAGTGGGCACCTGTCGTACAGGGCAAGAACCTTGAACCCTTCTGCTTTTCAAGGCTCGCAATTGCGTGACGGCGATCGAAATCGTGACCCCACGTGTGGTTTCCTCATAATTGGCGCACTCGCTGAGTGTGGGGAAGTGGAACGGTACCATTACCAGGGTCTGATACCGCCGTCTCGCCCCTGGAAAGGCGGAAGGTAATTAAACTGGTTTCCCAACCCAAGGAAAAACATGTCGGAAAACCCATGAACAAAGCACACGGGTCGGTCCGATTAATGTTGTTCTTATATTGGAGGTATGTACATGATAAAACACCTTGTGTCGGTAGGCATACTCTGTCACAGCCAGGGTGGATACTACTACTTCTCCTATAGTATTAAATATCTCACTTAAATCCCCTCGCAATGGGGGCGGGCCAACCAAGAAAGGAAAAAATATTGAAATAACTAACCCATCGGTTCACGGGCTGAGCTAGGTGGACAAGGTTCCCGCTTCATGCAACTTGACTGCGGCAACTGAAACTAGCCCCAAGCCCTGAGTTGGGTGTCCCCAACACATCCCAGTAGCCGACTTGAACTAATTACCAGCTCCATAGACCATAGCAGGGAGTTGGTATTGTGCTCGACAATCTTTCTGGGCTGCGTGATAATCAACGCTGGTGACCTGGAGGGAGGCTCTCTCCTTGGTCCAACTCTGCTTACTGTTGGGGTCACAATGTGCGACAACTCGCGGACTACAGAGCTAGGTTGCGATGCTGGCCCATGATACCCGCTAGGATGGGTTTCCGTGAGCTGTTTACGGACCGTTTAGTTCTCTAAGGAGTAAGCAATGCGCTAGTCCTTCTAATTATGTCTCGGCGTGAAGCCGCAGCTCATGGTGGCCGCAATGGCCAACAAAGACGACCCCTCCCTCTCCTCTTACAGGAAGTCGGCGCTTAAATAAATGGTGAACACAGCCGATACTGTGTTAGTGTCAAAGTCAGCCTGAGGCTCCCTGCTTGAACTTCTTATTATGAATTCCCTGGCACATCCGTCTTACCCGGCTATGTTAATATTCACACTCCCTTCACTAAAACATAGCACCCCGAGGAGCTCCCCTGCTTTTCCCTTAGAATGTGGAGGGCCTTGATTTGGTTGGGCATTGCCTATGAGGCTTTGGGTGATTGCGTTGGATCCGGGGTGGTAACGCTACCCTACCAAAATGTCACTGTCCTCGATGCCAGCGTCAGAAGGGGCATCCCCATAGAGCTAGGCACACCTCCGCAACCTGTCGCCATGGTAGCAGCCGGGTATTTACTCTTTCGCGTCAGAAAGCTTATGAGTCTGGCTAACTTGTTCGTCCCTCAGGTACGCAAACAACACATTCCTTTGGGACGACACCCACGGCTGCGATGTCCGCGTAGAGTACGACCCTTCATGCATAGTTGGCCGCGGAGGAATCTTCTGGCTTAATAAATCGTCAACATGGTCCGACATTGCCCAGCCCAATATCACTGCCCAGGATAGGACAATGCAGGGCTTTGACTTCACGGGGACACCCCCAAGGGGCGCAGACATCCTACACCTCAATGAATCTTATTCTCTGTACAACTTTCCCATCGCAACGACCAAGGGTGGTATTACCATGAATTCTCTTGGCCTAGGCCAAGAGTCAACGTTTCTTCAAACCTTAGTAAAGAAGGGCGCCATCCTATCAAAAACATGGTCTCTCTTCTATGGTCTTACGGGGGAAGGTGCAGACACGCAAATGGATGGAATAGCTGTGTTCGGAGGGTATGACAAAGCAAAAACCCAGGGGGGAAACCAAACCTTTCGGCTCAACTACGACGTGAACTGCCGAACCGGGATGGTTGCTACGGTCACAAGTATTGATGTGGGTTTTGAAAATGGTACTGAGCAGAATGCCTTTGCTTCTCCGATTGACATGTGCCTCGACCCTTCCTTTGAGATCATGTCTTTCACACCTTCAATCGTCGATACTCTCAAGTCTAAATTCGGGGCCAAGTCCTTCGGCACCTCAGGAGGCACTGCACACAACGGACTACTATACAATGTTGAGGATGCGTAAGTTATGCAATAATACCATCCTTCGATACTGAACTAATGACCCCCTGACACGTTAGTTTCACTGGAAACATCAGCATAACATTAAATCGCAAGCTCAAGATAACGGTGACCAACAACCAACTAGTCGTGCCAGACTATGTCCCACTTGGGAACGAGACCGTTTTCTCTGATACCTCTCGTGAGGTCCTTGTTGGAGTCCCTACCGGCGGTGATCAGCCACAGTGGATGACATATCTTGGGCAGCCGTTTTTCACAGCGGCGTACCTCATGGTCAATCAAGATTTGGGAACCTTTACCGTTTGGCAGAACAACATAACCGAGGACGAGGACTATCATGCTATAGACCCGAGCGGAACTATATGTAAAGAAGAGGCAACCGCCCCCACGACTTCAGTCGGTACATCTGTACCGCCTACGACAACGGACTCCCCAAAGCAAGGCCAAGCCCTGTCTACAGGTGCGATTGTCGGTATTGTGGTAGGTGCTGTAGCTGGTATTGCCCTCATGGCTGCATTCCTAGCTTTGTATTTGTATCGCAGGAAAGTGCGAAGACTGAAAGGCCAACTGTCGCCGGATCAAGTCATTCCCGTGGTTCCCAAAGGTGAATATCGCAACCGATTTCCGGTCGAAGCACCGACAACAGACCGTGGCGCAGCCGAAGCACCTACAATGGATCGGGGTGCAGCCGAAGTGCCAGGTGATGTTGGTCAACCTTCGATGATCTTTGAGCTTCCCAGTCATCCCCTATCTCGGCGGACATCCTCATAATGTACGCCAGTCGGCTTTGGTAGGATACGACTATGTATATAATGCATTACACCCTTCATTGCTTTTTATGTGTCAGCGCTTGCTACAGCGGTTTTCTGTATATAGGTATTTTTCTGTATATATGACACCAATCTTGGATAATACTCGTGTTGATTCGCCGGGATTTCCTACAACTAATGTACAGGATGTAGCTAGATTTGTTCCCAACACGATAGCGATGTATCACTCGCAGGATAAATATTGTGCCGTATACAGGCGGCAGATGGATGTCATATGTTATATCATTTATCACTTGTCCATTCTAGATTCCATATGCTCTAGGTAGTTTGATTTCTCTGCTGGGGTTGATTTATCCGTAGTCGATACAAACCAGCCTTCAGCCCGAAAGCCCTCGCAACTCCATTGTTTTGGTTTATGTCTTCTACCTTGCTTTTCCTTGATTAATTTAGTGGATATCGCTGATCAGACGGTGAGACCGGCACAGTGAAATGTTACTTGGGCTGGAAAGAACGGCCTTGTGGTGATTGCTCTTGCGGCCAGCGTTGGGAAGCCACGAGGAATCAAGATAACAGTTCCCGTCTATGGGTCTCATCTAGCACTATAATCGTTTCACCTGAGCTTTGGTCGCAACGACCTCTCAAACCCACAATGTGGCTTTATCTCTTGCTTATCGAAGCGAACAACAACCTGAATAGGCGAATCTATCGAATAGATTAAAATAGTCAGACTTATTATTTAAAAGAATAGCCAGACTAGTATAAAAAAGTAAATCTCATTCTAGGCGGGTAGTTGATTTAGTCCATGGTATCCAGACCACTAATATAGTAGGCCCTATTATGTCTCTGCATTATGTTCAGTCGCTGTCCTCGTGTTGACTATATTATGTCTATCTGGCGAGTACCCGCTAAAACGCTTGCCTAGATTAGATGAGGAATCTTTTTCCGAAATACTCTGTCCAAGAACTTGAAGTCAGATAGGTAGTGCCAGTCAGACTATATATATCTGGCCTGCGCCCTTTCTTTCAGGTTTTCAATTCAATTGAGATAGACTATCGACGCACGTATTGATCTACTAAGGTTTGATTTAGAAGGATATACCTGTTCCTTATTAATTGAATTATTTTTTGTTGTGGACGAAGTGTCCCAAATTGAGGAATTGCAATGGTCGTCCAGGCGATGATTGTGTGGAGGCGGACTACTGGCTCTTTTCGTATGCAGTGTAACTCATGGGCTATGAATTAAAGCTGTAAAGCATTTTTCAACAACTTGTCTCGGTGGCGCAATTGGTTAGCGCGTCTGACTGTTAATCAGGAGGTTGTGAGTTCGATCCTCACCTGGGACGGTTCTATTTTTGCCCTTATATTTTTATCCTGATCGATTCTGCATCTCACACCCAGATCCTCGCATGTCCACAGCTCATGATCATCCTCCGAAATGCTCGGTTCTTTTAGTGGAAGCTGGCGTTCGAGCAATCTATCCCTATCGTCGCGTACACGTTCCTACACAGCCTCTCACACTATGGCTCGTCATGTATCGGGCGTCAATTCTTGGCAGAGTGCTTGGCTACCCGTTCACGCTCGAGTTTGGAATGTGCGAGGCTTTCTTGTTTCCAGGTAGAGAAAATCGAAGACAGAGTGCACTTTGTGGTAAGGCGACCTGTTCAGTAGTGTTACTGAGGAATGGTGAGTAAATCCCACACACCAATCGATCTAGATAGAATATTAGCTGCTTTAACGTGGGTCTCCTAGTAGTGTTCCAAGGATAAGCTGTGCTGGAGATACGAATAGTACAATAAAAAAGTCAAGCCCGGTGGAGCTGACCTCTCACAGACAAGCCCACAAGATCACAGATATTACCGTGGTGGGCATCAAACTTCGAGCCGGGCAACCATAGTCTAGCATCTTGGTTGATTCCACACCTTTATGCCCTCTATTCCCCTTTGTCATGATGATTCATTCTCGGTCAATGGCAGTACAGAGTGGTTCGTATTACATTCTCAGATCACAGAACACAGAAACCACAAAGAGAGAAAGGTCCCAGGGGTTGTAGCCTACCAGGTGACTTTAAAAACTTTGATACCTTAAGATGTTTGTGCTTTTTGTAGGATAATGGTTTTGAGCGGCGGAATACAGTGCTTCTCTTCCAACTCAGAAACACTTACCCGTCTTTAGATCAAAGCCAACCGGTCCCCAAAAGGACTGTATAGAAAAACAGCCTACGGAGCACTTCTCCGAACACTCTTTTGTTTTCACCCAACCTAACTAGAATCATTTCGAAATGAAGAGCACGTTTGTCTCTGGGTTTCTTGACTTCCTCTCTGTCAACCTTGCGGGAGCAGTCCCCCCTCTTACAGCAGAGACCTGGACGAGCCCCCGCGACAACTTGAAGACTATCCAAAATCGACCAAGGAAAAAAGGGGTATAAAGGCGGTAGTTGATCCAGCCACAGAATGACCAAAAACCGGGAGACTGACTGTATAAAAAGTTGAGACATCCGAGGTGGTATCCGAACAGCAACTCATTTTGGTGTCGCTTCGGACCAAAATCCCCAAACCAAAGAGTTTTTGGCAAGTCGCATGCCTGCCTGGGACGAAGATGCGACAAGGGCTGGAAGCCATTTTGGCACAAGAATACTAATCTAGTACCGATACCATGGAGACGAGTGCAACGCCACCGTAATCACCGAAACCGACCAAACGAAACCCCATTCCTGACGTCTCGGAACAGTGGCAACTTGCTTTGGAAGGTTACAGGGAAGCCCGAGTGGGTAGAATGCTTGATTGAACGGAATTCGAGTCGGTAGCCTGGGAATTTGACAGTAGTATGTCTGTGTACTGGAGCCCAGAGAGAAGAAACAGAGCAGCAGGATAATGCTATCCTTGCAGACCTTGGTGGGCTTGGCCTTCTATTACTCGTCTTTCATCAACCGGGTTCCTACGAGTGATTCCTGTGTTTGGTTTATTAAGTCTCATCGCTCCCATAGCATATACTATAACAGATTGAAAGGTGATACTAACTCAATGAACCTCATATATCCGTTAGGGAGCTTATTTTACTTTACGTCTTACGAGCATACCTGTGCCATTGACTGTTGCTATTATAATTTACGTTTTCTCGTTTACTACTGTCTATTTACCTCTCCTTACCCGATAGACAGGTTTTTATTGGAAAGCGCATAGTCATGTCAGTCTTAGAGGTTTTCAGATATAGCCAGGCTTTTATTAAAAGGTGATAAAAAAAAAACAGTGTGATCTCTGCCCAATTCACAGATTAGATGGGATTGACGCTGCAGGACGTTTGGACAAGACTTCCCTCATCCTAGGAAACTAGTATTACAGATAGCAATCGCGATGCTCCAAAGCCACACATTTTACCCCGGAACAAGCGGAACTCGATGAATATCCTACTGGAGAGCTTGCCCGGCTCGATATCTCGTTGATTGGTGCTGATGGCAATACACATGTCGATCTCGGACTCTTAACACTCGATCTATGTGGCATTGAGTTAAAGAACGATCTGGTTCTAATTCTGCCGGTACTTACCCAAGTCAAATTTGACCGGAGCAGCCATAAAGTTCCCATTTGGCACCGGGACTTTAGACGTGTCGGGCACGTTGGTGCACCAACAACTCAAATCCCATCTGCCTAGTCTCCGAATGTATTCATAAACACAAGCCGAGCATCCTCCGATCATAATCCCGTTTCCATTAGATCTTGCCACGAGGCTCCGTGTGGTTCCATCCCAGCCAAGACAGAGGTCCAAGTTCAGCTGTGTAGGTAGACGGTACACAGAACCCGACTGCGCCACGCAGTCGCCAAGCAGATATTGTGCAGGTGGTCGTGATGGCGGGTTTGGCGGAGGCGGTGAGCGCGGTTGGCTGTTTGGTGAAGGATCTCGTGAAGGCGGATGTATACGTTGACCAACATCATTTATACCCACAACATTCAGGTGTGGACAAAGTTGGTGCAGAAGATATGATTCCCCCATCAATACCCCCTGGCTTGCAACCAACACTGATAGATATGTAATAATAATCTTCCACGATTGATGCATCCTTTTGCGAGTCAGACACAATCGAAAAAGAAAACAATCGAAGACGAAGACGAAGAAGCTTGAGGAATATGGAGATAAGAGAACAGTGATCATGCTGCAGTGGAAAGTGTAGCGGGAACCTGAGGCTCTTGATATCAGTCTAAATAGTATTCCAGCTTGTTGAATCATTTGATTAAAGGGGATAGACTAGTTGATCCCCTGTGTTCAATCCAGCCAATATGCGATATAATATGGATTGCAGTCTCTTTGTTATATTAGGACGGGGCGTTTGGGGCAAGGGTTCTCTAAGTTTGACAAGGAATAACTCCACTTAACAACGAGAGGTGTTTCGGTGAGGCCTTTTCCACTCGGGATGTGTGGCTGAAGTCTTTTTGAGGCTATCCTTTTTGTTTAGGAATAGACTGATCTAGGACTTATAGCCGAACGAGAGGGAAGCACTCTGTATACAAAGAAAGAGATAGATAAGGTTTTCTTTCACCCTCCTTCCAGTTTACAGGGTCTTTTGCGGAGAAACGAGTGGTATGTTTGCTATTCTTCTTCTACAAAAATACTAAAGAACTATTGGTCTTGTTCTTACTTTGTTCAGTAAAACCTAGAATGATAAGAAGTCTCTAATAGAAACCTAATAGACGATTCATTCGTACATTGACGTCTGCCGAGTGCTGCTGGGGATAATGATGAATGTTTCTACATTCCTAGCTGCATATTGCCCTTCCCCGAAACCGAACCCCGGCTTCCAGGATCGGTATTGTGATCACCTATTGTCTATAGACTGCTGGATGCGGCCAATGCCATAGCTAATGTGGAGTAGTATCACGAAAAGTCGTGATATATACGGCATCTTGACTGATGATGGCGATTGGAGAAATTGTGACATGTGTAAGTTGGTGTCTATATTCGAATATTCCGACTCCCACTGTGAAATCGAAAAAAAGACCATGCCTAGGTTTATAGATATATGAGAACAAAAGAGACACCACTGGTATGAAACAGATCTGCAATTCACATGTTTATATACTGTCCAATACTCTCGTTCAAGAAAACATCTTCCAGTAGGTTATCAAGGCTGCCCTCAATTGACCAGGAAAGATCAGTCAATCGCCATTCGTCGGGAGCTGAATTATCGTTTGCAGCTACGTTCGTGCCGAGGCTGGGTTGACTCTGCAGTGGATGTGATGCAGAAATCCACCGTTGAATATCTACATTTGGCTCTGGCTGAGACGACGACTGGTTAGGTACCCGGGGTCGCGGAGCTAAGCGGGTGTTACGTCGGACATGTATCTTTCCCAGTAACGGGACTGTAACTGTTAATCTTTCAGCCTCGCCAGTGTGGTTGTCTTGGCGAAGGAGCTGGTCTAAAGCGCGAAGAGTATTGTAGGCCTCAACTGCAAGTTCGGAATTGGTCGGGTCTCTCGCCCTTTCGCCAATCAAAGTGATGACCTCCGAGACTACTGCATGGAGGTTCCTTGTATCAACCCGGAGGCTATGACGGTCGGTTGAGCGGATGTGGTGGGAGAGGAGAAGGAGTACGGACGCTGCAGTAAGGGCTTGCAGATCCAATACTCGAGCCATGAACAAGCCCGCGGGCAGCTTTCTCCGGAGTGCTAAATACCGGCGTGCCACTGATTCACAAGCATTCATGCACGGTAGCCGAGCGTACATGAGCTCATCTCCAAGGTTCTGCTTCAGCACGAACGGTAGGTAGACTCTCATGAGGACACAGTAATGTAAAAACTGTACAACATCGTCCGGTGTTACGTGATCTCGTTCATCACCTGCCCACCATGTATCTGGCGCCTGGCCCGCGAGTTCCCCAAGGGCCTGAGCCATCTCCAGAGCGGCCATCTGCGTTTTCATACTTGATTCATGTGTATAACTGAGTTCATCCAGATCATACACCTTGATAGAAATGTTGAAAAGCCTGGTGAGATAAGTTGTGATGTGGATGCTGCCATCGACATTAAGTGGAGAAGCAGTTGTAAGTTGATACCGTGCGGTCCCTGGGGGAAGATTTAGGATCATTCCATTTAGCCGTTCTATATTACAGATTGCTTGCCACAACTGCACCTTGTGAAACGAGGTGTCGTTCGCGCCGGTGGGTTGGTTGAAGCGTACGGCTTGGAATACTCTAGGTAAGCCCATCAATTCTGCTATGGCAATGATGTGGCGTAATTTAATCCAGGCCTTTTGAAAGTTTCCTTGACCTACTTGCCTTCTACCTGTTAGCATATGGTAAAACCCCAAAGGTAAGCGAAATGGAGCGATATCACGTAAATAAGGACACAGTGCACAAGTCACTTTTGTTCTTTCTTGGTGTTTCTCCTATAGGGATAACGCTCACAGTCTAATGAAATGTAGAGCCATCCCAAGCCCTTGAATCGTTCCCACCAATCGATCATGGCAGAGTAGTGTATCATCCACTATATGTATAATCGACTGGCAAAATTCAAACCTCCTCTGGCACTTTTGTAAATATACGTCGGAATCTTCCTGTCCTGGATGGATTTGCTGTGCGGTAAGTGCAAGTGTAAGGAGCCAAGAGGCTAGCATGATAACATCTATGTTGGGACTACACATTGACTCATAACTCTTTAGTAGTTCTTGTGGAGACTTCAGCATCAGAGGTTGTGGGAATAGTGTATGAAGCAAGGTCAGCCAATCGTAGGGAGATCGTGCAATATCCGCAACTTCATCCTTTGGTGGAATCATGTTTTGGAGTTTTGGTCGCACATCGATCGACAATTGCGCAAAGATTTTATCCATACGTTGCTCCGCCTGCTGCTCATGTTGGCATGGATCAGCGCTCAGCCAGTGGTTCTGGAATAGCGATTGCAGGTGTGATGGTCTTTCAGCCATGGGAATATCCGACCCACTACTTTCTCCTTCCTCGTCGTCGGAGCCCGAGAATCGGTCGTCTTTACTGCTAGCGATCTGAGATGGTTTATAGCCAAGCTTGCATTCGATGTTGTTCACAACTCCTGTTAACTGCGCGACCTGTGATTCGAGCTGAGCGATGCGAAGTCGTGATGGGATTCGTGAGGGTTGCGATGATTGCGTCCTTTTCGACACCTGTGCAGTACAGGCTACCCCTCGATCCTCACATTGTTGACATGTATCCGCTTCTCGAGGAATTCTAATGCAGCGAACTTTCCGTCGTCTACCTGTCTTCCGAGATCAGACGTGGAGATCTTGTAAAGTTTGACAACCAACCTACACTCGGTGCAGCTTTTCGTTCCTTTCCGTAAGCCGGAGCGGGGCATGTCGGACGGAGACATTTTCAAGGCCGACATCCGAAATTCCGAGGTTACGTTTGAAATTAGGATGGAGAGAATAGAATATAGGGTGATTTAATGGTGGTGGTGGTAGGATGAAGTGAGGTTGCGCGTCGGAGCGGACCAATCTGTTGGTCCGCGGAACCCTAATTCGTCCGAATTGCGAATCGGATTTCTTATAGCGCTCTACGACCATATCACTCGCATTGGGAGGTCTCCTCTCACTGCAAGGATCAAATGCAGTGAAATATCACTACGACCTGTCATCAGACCTCCAAGAAATTTATTTCCGAAAATGTCCTCGTCTTTGCAGATTCGTGGTGGGCCATATGCGTCCACAACCGCGGGGATGGGAGGTCTTCCAACCATCATACCAGACGTCCCAATATGTGCAGTCTTCCTGGTCTTGTATATCGCCTTCGCCGCTACAAACATGACTATCTTCCAGAAAAACCGCCGGCGGGGCCACAAGTTCGTGAAGTCTGCGATGCTATTTGGTTTCTGCATGGCAAGGATCACCACCCTGGTCCTGCGCATAGCCTGGGCTAATCGACAACACAATGTCCGACTCGCCATTGCTGCCAATATCTTTGTCAATGCGGGAGTTCTCCTGGCGTACATCATCAACTTCATCCTCGCCCAGCGTATTCTCCGCAGCAAGCAGCCTCACATCGGCTGGCACCCTATCCTGCGCCAAGGCTCCAAGCTTCTTTATGCCTTAATTCTTGGGGCATTGGTGATGGTAATCACATCCACAGTGGTATCCTTATACACGCTCAATATGTATACTCGGTCCCAATGTCGCGACGTCCAACTGGCAGCCATTACCTATCTCCTCATCTTTACCTGTCTTCCTCTTGTACAGGTCTCCATCGCATTTATCCTACCCAGATCACCACAGGAGGACCCCTTCGGGCAGGGGAGGACGACTACCAAAGCCATAATTGTCATTGTTTCGTCGTGCCTATGTATTCTCATTGCCGGGTTCAAAGCTGGTGCCAACTGGTCCCCTCCACAGCCTGTAACCAACCCACCCTGGTATGACTCCAAGGCATGCTTCTACGTGTTCAACTTCGTGTTGGAGATCATGATCCTCAGTCTTTTGACCTTTAGCCGCTTTGACAGGCGGTTCCATATTCCCAATGGATCTACGCAGCCTGGAGACTATAGCTGCCTGGCATTACAGCCGGATAAAGAGAGTGACCAGCCTCAGTTGAGTGAGAAGAAGAGGTCTGCGTCAGCACAGAACTAAAATATCGTTCTTGGCAGGTCGGCTTCAGTGCTACTTCAAAGCCACTTTCTCGCCATCTTTTTAATTTGTGTCGCAAAGTCTTAGTCATCTTTTTTTTTTTGGTTCTACATAATCGTGCCCTATTGATACCCTGGAAAGTTGCGTATCTTAATAGTCTATTAGTTGATTTAATAAAGGGCGCTCTTCTGAACATGACTGGTAAGATCAGTAGTTTTCTGCTGCACCATTGCGGCTATTCTATCGCTTGTTATAACTAGACTGGTCTCTTACCAAGCTTCGAAAAGTCGGCCAGGCAAGTATTTATATCCCGTGTGATTATCCTTGAGAATGGTTTTAAAAAAGCCAGGTTATCCTCTACATGTCCTTTAAATACCTCTGGTTCTGACTATTTGCCGTTCTGTTTGCTGGTTTCAGCCGCCAGTTCCACCATGTTGACCAACATCAACGAAGATAACAACCTCTGCCGAATGGAGCGCGGCGAACTGTACGATGAACTCACTCCACAGCTTGTGGCCGCCCGGAAACGGTGCGCAAGTGCCGTGAGCCGCCTGATAATGCTGGTGAGCTAACCCGGCGGTAAATCGGCACTTCAGAGGATGAAGAAGATGCAATCTTGCACGAATATCCGTGGATCGAACGACCCATCAAAATCGACCACGGAACGAATATCACAGCCGGGAGCAACTCTTTTATCAACAACTTTCATATGGGCACCACTGTTGTAGAGAACAGCGGTTATGGTGTCTACAATGAGATTTGCAACCGACAGCTCTGCACCTTCTAGGATATTCCTGCATATCACGGTGTGCCAACGCCTAGTCAAATTGATCATTTCATTCTGGTAACATACACAAAGGAAACCATTGCCCAATTCAACCAATTGAGGACGAAAGCATCATCTCCTAACGCAAGTGTTGTTAGTAAGCAATCGTGGTGCTAAGCCTTTGGTAGCACCCTTGGGTTTGCGGCAAAGGGCTACGTATCAAGAAATGCTGATGCCAGCCCCCCAGCAAATCAAGCGTCGGTCAAGGTCTCGAAGGAGAGAGAGATGGAAATATCACGCTGTTGCTGTGATGCGACTCTGTCCGTTGATATAGGGGAAGAGGGCTCAATGACCTGATCTGGAGCCGCCATTTCCACATTTGAGTCTGAACCCTGAGTACTGGACAGCACCGGCCTTTTTCCCTGGCCGAAAACCACTGCGCCGCCTTCAGGCACACAGTCCGTTGGCTCATTCTCCTCCTCCTGCACCTTTCCACTCTTGATCTCCTGCAAGAGAGAACTCGTATCCCAGCAAGAAGTATGACTTGCATTGCCGTGGTCGCACTTTTGGAAAGGTGACCCCGTCAAGGACCAATAATGGTCTCTACCAAGACGTCGCACGGCGCTCATCAGCCTACCTCCACTTCGGCGATGCAGAATGTCCAAGGTGCGAATCGTAGTCGCCAGCCAGTCAGAGCCCTTAGGAAGCCGATTGCAGAGCGACTTTATATCGCTGGACTTCAACCCAACAATAACATCCCCAAGTTGGGAGCAAAATAAACAGTTGACTTCATTCAACAAGAATGACCAGGCCAATCCTTCTTTGTCAATCTGCGTTGTCTTGAGCTCACTTCTCGGAGAATCTGTAACAATGTCCATAAACTCGTAGCCAAAGATGCTACATCGTCTGGGGGCATGCAAGCGAGCTTTGGACATATTGACAGAAAAGCCAAGTATTAATTCCCGAACAGTCAGCTTGTCGTCTCCGGAGCCTTCAATCACCAATGAACCGCAAGATTGAAGGTGGCACAATGATTGATTAGCACCGATGGATGGAGCCTTCATTATTGGTACGGTTCCTTTCGAGCATACCTCTGGTATTCTTTCGCAGTATGCTAGGAGCATTTGATGGAACACGATAATCAAGGGGACGAGCCAAGCCCTCGATTCACTAACATCATAGAGAATAATTGGCTCCATTGCACTACCGCGGAGGCATTTGACATAGTTTCTTTGAGGACTGAATCGTAGTGTGTTGATTCTTCTCTCAAAGGCTATGCTAAGCCCTCCTCCAATCTGAAACGGAGATACGCTCGTTGCTATCAGCTGCAGGCTTGCTCCAGTCCAACTCCATGTAGTGTGTTTGGGCTTCGCATCGGACCATCCGATTGTGGAATTTACATTTTTCGTTCCTAATTGCGTCACTGCCTCTGGGCACCAGCCCAGCAAGACCGTCTTTGTTTGGAGGTCCTCCAACTTTGTTGTCTTCATCCAATCTCTTTTGACTGCTGCAAGTTCAGTGGTTCGCAGTTGAAAGTCGTGGTTCGCTGTTTCCAGGTGCCAGAGGACTGATTCATGATCCTTCCGCACAGGTAGGAGAGCAGTTGAGTATCCCATGAGTACCAGGCCAGAGTCAACCATGACTGGATACTCGACTGCTGCCAATTGAAGCATGAGATGGAAGTTTAGATTCAAGTGGAATCCCTCTTCGGGCTGAATGCGAGGGTCTGACGCAATGACCGCGGTTTCGAAGAGACTGAGCCAACAGCTATTCGCTGGCCTTTCCAACTGAGTTAAACGTTTGAGAGTCACCTTATTCCCATCGATTATCCCCGTTGACACAGAGACGTTTCCCCGCACTGGTCGACGGAATGTCAGGTATACCCACAGGAGTAAGTCCCAGAGGTGGCTAAGCGATGGTCGCAACAGAACAAAAAGGCTGAACGTGCCTATCTGAACCAACATGTCATTGTCATCTATACCTTTGTTAAAACTGATAATGACATGTACTTGCAAACACTCACTCACCGGATTTGTGGTCATCGTTCATCTGAGCTCGTATGATATGGCTCAGAAGCCTAACCCCTTCTTTGCCGTACATCTCTGCAACGTATTCCCTACAGGTCAACACCTTAACACCTCTTTCTGATTTTGTCAATGTCAGCATATCGAAAAGGTCCTTCTCCACGCCAATTACATCCGGGTGAGCATAGGGATCACCCGACGGCGAAGACCCACGAGGGGCACTGAAAAGCTCTAGCACAAGGCTGGGAAGATCCCAGTTGCATTCGAACACCTTGGAATCGAGGATTGACCACACGCTCTCTTTCGACGGTGACACTACAGGGGGCGAAATCGATTGGGGAACGACGTTGTGCTTGGAGTGACGTGGTGAATGTGAACGACGAATCTTCCGCCGATTGTCGCGAACCGAGTTGCGAGGATTGGATCCTTCGGATGGCAATTCATCCAAATGATAGCCAGAGGGCTGATCCGTGGAGTGATAGAGTTGAAGGTAATGTCTGAAGCCGGGGTGGCCCGCGACTTCATCTTGGCCCTGGCGGAAGGGGTCACTAACTTTACAGTCATCCATCATGAACTTCAAAACACAACAACAGCTGGGACTTGGACGAGATTAAGTAGTCAGAGGAAATGGAGGAGCCAGCAGAGACACATCACACAGAGTGAATGGAGCAGACAGAGCAGATTAAGGGATAGTGATGGGCGACCCTGCTTTTGAATAACAACAGCAGCAGCAGCAACAACATGGCGGTGAGACCGAGGGGATCTAAGACATATTCAGGTTGACCAGCCTGGGACACAGGGCACAAATTATGTTGTATAGCCGGAGTTCCGTCTGGGTTAGGGAAGCAGTCTGTGTGTCTCTAGACCTATGACGTGGGAAGATTTGAGACACATGGCGAGCCGGGGGGGTTTTGCTTCTTTTTCCTACATAACGATAATCGTATCTCATTTGTAGTGTCGCAGAACGAAATGAAACCATCCTTACCGACCATCGCTTGGAGCACAGTTTTCACCGCCCTTGATCAAACGAGAGCTCGTATAACGAACTCTTCGCTTACCATGACCTGATAATCTAGTTCTTGGCTACATACCATACTTCCGGAGATCAAGCTTCTCTTAGGCACTGGGGCGATTTGTAGGTGGTTCGCTACCACCGACCCACAAATTAGAGCTTGGTTGACGCCCTTGTTGCCATCGGAAGCTGAATACGAGCGATAGGCACGGAAGATACCCTGGCGTGCCACAAAACACTATTTCCCAGCTTGATAGGTGTGAACTGAAAGAGTGCTCAGGCGACAGTTGAGACATTCTACGTACACCCCGGCCACAGTCAAGCATCTTCGTACTACTAGATTACTGGGGATTGTTCTGTCTATTGGGTCTTGTACTAGTAGACACTATATGAAAATAATTAGGTAGTCTACTCCATATGATGCTATATTGAAGTCTACCAGCAGAAAGAACGCGGTCCCGAGGACCAATCAGCACGAGACCCACCGGACCCACCAGCCATACCCGATCAGGGATAGCGCATCGGCTGCCAGCAGGACCGAAATGCTCCATGGCGACCCTTCATGCAAACATTCGATTTTGGTCCCATATCCATTCCTGCCCCAACTCACAGACCTGTTCATCAAAGCTAGTATAGCAGGGTGGCTAGACTTGCAACACATCTGAGTCACGGGCATTCTCCAGCGCTGCCTGTGGACCGGGTAGATCTGCGCAATCCCATCTGACGTTCACTCGTACGCAGCCACTACGATTCAACGAGCCATTGGACATGGGAGATAACTACCGTATCGATGATACCTTCTTTGTACCGACCATGGGTAATGTCTCGACCCGATCTCGAACAGGCTGCTTAACGTGCCGACGCCGTAAGAAAAAGTGCGACGAACGGCACCCGATATGCAGTGGTTGCGACAGAAATCAGCTTCCCTGCGAGTGGGTTTCTAATGAGCTGGTGTCTAAAACACGACGGCCACGTTGTCGTCGGCAGCTTGCGGTGACCCAACTACCGCATGAGGCACAGACAATGGTCAATGTGTTCGCCATTCCGAAGCCCGGGATGGTGCAGCGGCTATTGTCACATTTTATAGATCACAGCCCAAGGTGGTTATCAACCAGGACTGGGAAACGCAGATCAGACTTTCTGCAATATTTGTTGCCCGCGGTCTCGCGAAACCTACTGGTTCATAATTGTGTTCTCATGATAGCCTCGGCTGATCTGGCCAAATATTGTCGTGGCGATGTCGAAGTGCAAGGCGTAGCAGTAGAGTACTATGGGAAGGCCGTTTCCGCTTTGCAGGGATCGCTGAACGAGGAGCTGACTGCTGTGGCTGCATACAACCTACCGGGATCCGGTTAGTAATGAGGCATGTCATGGAACTTGCTACTTGAACGCTGACCTTTATTAGATTACACCCCTTTGGCAGTCCTACTGTTGTGTCTGCATGAGGTATGCGCCAACGCGAAGGAACCTGTTCCGCTTCGCTGTCTCCGATTTGGCTTCGATTTAGAAACTAAAGGTAGCAGTGTCAGAACTTTACAAACAGCACGCGCATAGTGCCCCATCTTAACGCTGCCGCCGCGCTCCTGCTTCGTCGCCTGCATTACACTCCCGAGGACCTGCCACTACGAAGCTTTTTGTTCGAACTATTTTGCTACTATTTCTCCCTGGTAGCCTTCTCGCACGGCTCTAGACTTTCGCTTAGTCAAGCATCTGCTATCTTCAGCTCTCCCATTGTCACCCAATATCTCCAGCAAGGCAATGTCATGGGCACATCGCAGCGTCTCTTCATGTGTATCTTTCGAATATCCATGTTGGCGGAGAAGGTCGCATCCGAGCGGCAGTTCCACGACTCACCGGCACGAACGGAGCTTACCGGGCTTGCGCAGCAATTGATCACCTGTCAACTTGAGCTTCCCCCAAGAACAGACGCAGATATCGCCTGGCTTAACGACGCAATAACATCCGAACTCTACCGCCTGGCATGTCTGATATATATCAAAAAGGTTCTAGATCCCGCGCTGTCTGACGACAGTCCACCTATTCAGGCGCTTGTCATAGCGTTTGCTGACAATTTGGGCCATCTACCACCCGACGCCCCGTCGAATAACATTCTTTGCTGGCCGCTGGTTGTAGCTGGGCTCTCTGCCGTGGAGAGTACACACCAGCGGGCCATTAGCATAAGACTGGGACAAATCTATGACATATGGCGGTCCGATATACTTTGTCAAAGTGCCGCGTTTTTGCGACAGAAGTGGCGGCGCGATCGGAATCCGAATCGCTGTTTCGCATCAGCCTCCTGTGGAGAGCAGGAAAAGGGTGAAGATCGCTCAACGGCTGCAGTCAATGATATACTCAACCTTCAGTTCCCGGTAATTCTGGTTTAGCCAGTGGCATGAATACAAATGGGAAACGGCTTGTTTACGTCATTTGTCTCACTTATCACCGCGAACGACGACTTGCACTCTGCCTCTGATGGCCTTCGCCTCCTTCATACAGGATGCAAAAATGCAACATTTAGACTACGTATAACACGTCCGGCATCAAGGTGTCCATTCCTCTTACTGCTGTCGGTGTGAATGCGTTTGATTGGCAAGTCCTAGCACGTTACTCCCAGATGCGGCTTCTCATCCATTTTCGTATGAAGATGTCATCATGGACTCGCTATATACAACTCTATGGATACACGCGTATATACAACGAACAGCCCCATATACAAAACCCCACAAAGTCCAAAACCCAGGGAACAATCGACAACTGGACGCGCCATATCCCAGAAAACATTAAACCACAGGGCGCCGCAGCATCCAATGCAATAATTCCACCTTCTTCTCGCCCTCCCCATCAACACCTCCCCCCACAATCGTCCATCCACATTTAGTCAGCACCTTCGCACTCCCCACGTTCGTCTTATCCGTCACAGCGCGCAAAGTCCCAACCTCCTCTGCAGCTCCAGAGACACCATCCCCAGGAATCGGTAACCTCCACCACGCCTGCGCAAACCCTTTCAGAGCTTCTGTCGCATACCCGCTCCCCCAGGTTTCGGGCAGAAATAGATATCCCACCTCGGGATCGTCCTCGGCGGTAATAGATACGATGCCCATAATGCCAATGAGATCGCCTTCCTCGGACGCCGTGGCCGGGACTTCATCCGGGATCGTTTTGCGTAGGACGGCGAAATTGTAGTTCGGTCGCTGCCCTGTTTCGTTGTCATGGGTGAACCGCTCCATCCATCTACTCGTTTCTTCTGTCGTGGCGTCGATGCGGCCCTGTCGGGTCCAGCGCATGACGTCGGGAGTGGTTCGGAGAACGTGCAGAGCGGGAAGATCCGCGGCCCGAAACGGTCGGAGGAGAAGCCGAGCCGTGTGGATCGCGGGTGTTTGGGATTGTTGGGGGAGGAGTGGTAGGATTGGCATGGCTGTGATTTTGGGGTTTGGGTATGGATGGGTATGCTGTGGGAACTTTTGCCGGTGGGTATCGTCGAGCTATATATAGGTTTACCGAGACTGATAGTTACGATGTTGTGTGGTCCGCTGGCCCACTGAATGAGTCATCTCGTATTCAATGGTCTCCATTCCACTATCTGGTTTACCGTATTAAACACTTTTAAGGAAAAGGTTGATGTACTAATAAAGCTTGTTGCGTGTAGTTTAATATAAAAATGGATTATATCCGTCAAGCCTCAATGGATAGTTCGGAAGGACTTCTAGACAGAATGCACGACCCACCCATGGTACCCGACTAGATATAAAATTTTGATATGTTTTGAGAATCACTGAACCATAACAGCACTGCTGCTCTCATCCAAACACTCCTCACGCGCTGCCTTGATCGCACCAACAATCTGCATTATGGCGTCCCAAATCCGAGCACGGTTCTGTAGCCCTTTGAGCTGTTTCCAATTGACAGTAATGTCACGGTAGAGCTGATACCAATTCGTGCTATTATAATCCAATTTGACGGGACTCAGACCGAGAACCTCCAGTCTGTCCGGGTGGTCCGGCCATTCCCACTGTGGTTGGTTTCGCAGCCATTCAGCCTGAACTTCAGGCATCTCTTCAGCGATGACAAGTCTTTGTTTCTCCATGTCACGGTCCCACTCTTCTCGAGCTGCCTTTTCCTGGTGCACGTCGTGGGTGATTACAGTGGCCCAATAGTATGGCATCGGATCCGATGACCACGCTTCATACAACCACGGCATTTCCCGAATGACCAGCCGATGCCATAGCGAATTCGGTAAGTGTGTGAAGGCGCGTGAGGCGAGTCGAAGAGCGGCAATGTCTTGGGAGCTAAGGTAGTCAATGATGATCAAACTGATTTCAATAGGGAATGCTAGGAAAGGATCCGGGGCGGATGATACGGTATTTGTTTGATTCCTGGCGTCAAAGGGGCTGTTGTGTACGCTGAACCCTTTGTCCGTGGAAATGGCGGACTTGATGATCGGCTTCAGCGCAGGGACAAATATGGGATTGGCGACTAGGTACTCATGGCCGACCTGATGGTTCCAGACCTGTCCTTGTCCTTCTGTGACATGTTCGTGGTTTTCGATTGGAACGGGCTGGCTTGTCATACATCCTCTGTCACGAATCCGGACCAACGTATCCATGTCAACTTCCCCTAAACACTGCTTGCTCGCTTGGATAAACAACTCAAAGCATGCTGGATGAAACGGTAGCCCGATCTCGTTGAGCTCCTCCTGAGACTGCCGACAAGTAAGTCATCTATATTGTACTGCAGCGAAGGTAACGTTCAGTATGTGCCATACCGTTGCGAACATAAATTCAATTTCAGCCCGAATATTATTGACACCGTGTCGAACCGGCGCAAATATCAATCCATCTCCAGAAGAAGGCATGATCTGCGCGACGCCCGTCAGATGATATCGACTCTTCCGCTCGAAGTCGAGATCGTCCACTCGAGGTTTCCAACCGGGTCCTTTCGCAAGGATGCACTGAACGGTATGGCAGCCTCTCATTTCTTCGGCGGAGATATTCCTCCCCAAGTAAGCTCGGCTATTTCGGCAGTCTGGCCCAGCAATATGTTCATAGCATCTGGACTTGTCGTAGGCCTCCTTGTTCATTGTCCTGGAGCCATCAGCATTGATGGTCCAAATACTCTCGCCTAATTGTGTTGAGAGGGGGTAGAACTCGGTGTCGTATTCCGGGTGATCAGGCCCCTGTACCTTAAAGGTCCACTCTAGTTGACTTGTACATCCATCATCGGCTGTCTCCATACGTTCATCCTCACCATCACTTGCTCCTGACTCATATTCCAGAGGGTCATCCCCAGAATCACTCTGATATTCATAGTTAGGGTCATCCACATGAATGCCACCCGCTGGATCATCATCATATAACAGCGGTCTCGGGCTATAAAACCCAGGAGCTCGGAGAGCCATGCAGCACCCCATCTCGGATGAGCAGTCATCGTAATCGTACATATCTTGCGCCTGCTCTTCCTCGTCTTTTTCATCCCTTGTGAAGTCCCGTCCCTCGACCCATCCGCCGCGACCACCAGGGCCGAATGCCGCTGACCTCGGCTCCCATTTCGACCGGATGCGGCTGATGTTGAAGTGCACGCCGCAGAATTGGCAGGGGACCTGTTTCTTGGTGTCAGAGTTGCTGGGATGGCTTAATTGGATGTACAAATGGAGATTGTGCAGAGAAAATGGTATTCAAAACGTATTGCAAGTATGCACGGACCTCCCAGTATCCTAAACGAAAACCGTTAGTTCTGTGAGCATAGCTCCTGTGGACTATTCGAGAAATGACGTACCCATTTTGGTTGTAAGGAGAGGCTATATCACTACAATAACCCTCGCTGAGGTTTAAAGTGGGGTTTGCTTCTCAGGGGCAGAAGCTCAATATATGCCTTTAAATCTCGTATTCACCGCTAATGCCGATCCGATTTGTTCTCAGGAACGGGCCCACTATTACGAGTTGCACCGGCTGCCAGGCAGCTCCAGGGAGAGGAATCTAATATAAGAACACTAAATCGGTACTGCTGACTGAATTAAGGTAATATGTAATATTTCATATCTTTCTAAGGTTTCATGCAGCGCTCGATACAGGCTGTGGGACGAATAGGTCTACAAAATCACTAGCGGCCATCTTCTCCAACTTCGACGAATTTACCGTGTCCAGAATCTGCTCCACCCTGTCTGAGGAAAGCTTTAAGCTCAAATTCTGCTGGGCCTTCTCCCGGACCAGCTGTAGAGTCTCGGGTCGACGCACATGGCCCAGGGGGAACGGAACCATTTCTTCCAACTTGGTGCCATCCCGCAATGTCACCTCCAATGCGTTGGCCACGCTGCGGCACTGAGGATCATGGTAATCGTGGGTGAATGACGGGTCTTCTTCCATGGTGGTGATAGAGCGGAGTGATTCTACGCGAGGATCACGGGCCCAGGGACTGCTGTCCTGGTAGTCGGCGGTCGTGATTTGACTGCCCTTGAGCAGGACCACGGCAACCATATACCGGAGGCAGTGGTCGCGATCTGCGGCGTTGTGCAGTGGCCCTTTCTTATTGATGATGATCATTCCGGCCTCTTGGGTTCGAGCTCGAATGCTAACAATGTCGTTTTCCGGCCGAAGCCCACGCTGGGCTATCTTTTGCGCGATGGTCAACGCTGCTTCCACAGCGGTCAACCCGTGTCCCTCAGCCGTGGAGACTTTGAAGAGGACCGTCTCCATAACCCAGCTGGTGAATGGACGGGGTAGCTCAAAGGTCTGGCCACGATACAAAACATCATAAAATCCCCAACGCGGGGTGGTGATCGCAGAGCGGATACCAGGCTGGCCACATCGAACCAGGTTGGCCAGATGTACAGCACGCATGCAGGCATCCCCGGCGGCCCATCCTTTCCGGGGTCCCGCGTTTGGCGCTTGTCGATAGACCCGCAGCGGATGACCATCCGCCCAGGCATGCGAGACTACAGCGCGGGCTTGATCGCTGGAGAGACCCATGAGCCAGGACACCATGGCCGACGAGGCAACCTTGACCAGAATGACATGATCGAGGCCAACCTTGTTGAAGGCGTTGCGGATCTGGAACACGCCCTGGATCTCATACGCCTTGATCAGAGCAGTGAGGACCTGTTTCATGGAGATGACTTGATCGGGGTTGCCACGAGCAAGGGCCTCCCGGCTGAGGATATCGGCGGTGCTGAGGATCGCACCAAGGTTATCTAGTCATCGGTCAGAACAGACGGACGGCAGGTGTGGATATTCGGGCTCATCCTTACCCGATGGATGCCCCCATTCAGCACCGGGAAATGCATCGTTATGGTCGAGGTAGCGGATCATGCCCCCAAGGTCAAAGGCACCCTTGAGAGCATCCACCTGCAATTGAGTACCGGGCACGCGGAAGCCCCCTGGCACCGTGGCTGTATTGGGCCAGACAGGGCCAATCATGGCGGCACATTCCGGGCTAGTGTGAATACTTTCAATGGCAGCTCCCAGAGCATCCAGAAGGGCAGCCTTGGCCCGTGCCCAGGCTGCTGGGGAGTCAATCTCATAGTCATAGGCGTATTCGACGATCAAATCGATCACCTTGTCGTAAGAAGGACAGTTATTGTCGTCCGCCGCTGGAATCGTCATTTTCGCTTTTGCGTCATAAATTGTGATTCTGGTGTATTTCCTCGTTCTCCGATCTAGCCTCATTTTATAACCAACTCACTGGTAATCCCGAGTATAGAAGCTATAGGCGCGATATGTTGTCGCCCCGCTCGGCGTCGATGGGCCGCGTCTCGGCTCTCGAACTCCGGCAGCCAGATCTCTCCGAGCGACCCAGCGTAAGAACCCAGCGTAAGATTTGCTTTGCGATCCCACACAGTCCACGTCCAGGAATATGGGAGATCGGACCGACCCAGCGTAAGGACCCAGCGTAAGATTCGTTCCCGACTATCATCATCCGCGCGCAGTGTGGATAGAGTAAATAGTAGACGGAATGCCCACATATCTAGTCGCAGTTAACCAAAACAATCGCCTCGCGCCGTGCTAGAAATCGAAGGACGCCCAGCGTGAAGCACGACCGACACATCGCCTTTGCAAACAATAATTAATATCCTGGTTACTATTTTCTGTCAGCGCCCTCACTTCCTCCCTTACCATGGCCTCTACACCCAGCTCTGGTTCCTATGATCTTGCGATCGTGACACCCTCGGAAGACTATTCATTAAGGTCTTTCTCTCTTGCCCAGGGGAATATCCAGCAAACGTTCCTTGTATCAGCACAGGATGGGGCCTTCCTGGACCAGCAAAAGGCCTCTTTCTTGCAGAACCATTCGAAAGATCAGTCGATTCTCGCGTTAGTGTTTGCATTTTTACAGTTCCTCCTGGATGAAGATTGCCCACCAGCTCCCCTAGGGGCTTTCCTCGGCGCCATCGAATCTCAGTGCGTGAGAGACACGAATATCCACGACCTGGTTATGCCCGAGCCCGAGGCCAAGAATATTATACGCACCTACTACCGCGCACATGCGGTGGCAGGTCTCAGTCCCCGTCCAGCCCCCAGTGGACTCTTCACCACAACTAACAACGACGCGCACCGCATCTTGATGGCCTTCGGCGGCCAAGGATCTACGAATCTTGTCTGTGTTGACGAATTGGCCGAGCTATATTCTCTATACCAACCGTTACTTGAGCCGCTGATCGCATCAGTAGCGCCAGCCCTCGCAAGTTTGTCTCGGGATCCGTCCACGTCGCAGCACTACTTGGGTCGTGAGATTGACCTTTACTCCTGGTTGACCAACCCCGAGTCTCGTCCGGACCGGGCCTTTACAGCCACGGCCGCCGTCAGTTTCCCCATCATTGGCTTACTTGACATGGCCCATTATTACGTGCTGGGTAAATTACTCGACTCGGATTCCCCAAAGCGACTAAGGTCATCACTACAAGGCCTCACCGGCCACTCGCAGGGAATCATCGTGGCTGCAGCCGTCGCTCAAGCGGACTCGTGGGCGTCGTTTTTGGCGCAGGCACAATGGGCCATCCGCCTGTTATTTTGGATGGGTTATGAATGCCACACTGCCGCTCCGGTCTCCCCATTATCGTCCGCCGCCATCAGAGATAGTATTGAGCACGGCGAGGGATCCCCCTCATGGCTGCTTAGTGTCCGCGGCCTGCGATATCCTGCCCTTGATGCGTTAATCGCGGACTGTAATCGCCGGTTACCGGAATCTGAGCACGTGTCCATCGGACTGATCAACACTGAACGGAACCTGGTGGTAGCCGGCACTCCACGTTCTCTCCGAGGCCTATGTCTGCGGTTGCGAGAGATCGAAGCCGATGATGGACAAGATCAAAGTCGGGTTCCTTTCCGTCAGCGCAAGCCCGTTGTCCATCATACCTTCCTGCCTGTTAGCGCTCCATTCCATTCCAGTCACCTCCGTGCCGCTGCGGACCGCGTCAAGGCACGGTTTCCGGATGCCTCGTCGCCCAAGGTGGGCGATCTCCTCACTGCCGTCTTTCATACACGGACTGGCCAGGATATGCGCGAGATGTTCAGCCCATCGACCAACCTAATCCAAAGCTTGGTCGAGGCAGTAGCATGTGAGACGGTGGATTGGCCTGCAACGTTGCAGGTGTCGCGTTTTACGCCGCCCTCCCACATTGTGCTTCTCAGCAGTAGCCGTCTCAGTGATCTCGTTTCCGAAATTGTCGATGGCCGAGGAGTTCGCATCATCGCAGGGACGGTGCTAGCCCCAACAGACACCACTGCCCTGGGTGGTAAAGCGGAGTTACTAACCGCGAAGCCGTCACAGGCGCCGGTCCCCTGGGGGGACCTCTTCAAAGCTCGGCTGGTGGCGGGCCCAGATGGCAAGCCCGCACTCGAAACGCGACTCAGTAAGCTGCTGCAAGCCCCGCCTATTATCACAGCGGGGATGACACCCACTACGGTACACTGGGACTTTGTGGCTGCGGTGATGCAGGCAGGCTATCATGTTGAGCTGGCCGGTGGCGGATACTTTGACGCAGCTGGCATGACAGCTGCGATTGAGAAATTAGCGGTCCACGTTCCGCCTGGTCGTGGCATCACCTGCAATCTCATCTATGCCAGCCCTCATTCAATTGCATTCCAGATCCCCCTCATCCGCAGCATGATTCAACGAGGAATCCCCATAGATGGCTTGACGATCGGGGCTGGGGTTCCCTCGCTGGACGTGGTCAATGAATGGATCCAGACACTGGGTATCAAACATCTTTCTCTCAAACCGGGGTCTATCGCTGCCATCTATGAGGTAATTGAAATCGCTAAAATGCACCCATCGTTCCCGATTATTTTGCAGTGGACTGGAGGCCGCGGTGGTGGTCACCACTCCTGTGAGGACTTCCACGAGCCACTTCTGCAGACATACCGGGATATCCGCCGCTGTTCCAATTTGTATCTGGTTGTGGGCAGTGGGTTTGGCCAAGCGGACCAAATGCACCCATATATCACGGGTGAATGGTCGCTGCCATTCGGTCGTGCTTTGATGCCTTGTGATGGTATCCTCATAGGCAGTCGGATGATGGTCGCCCGGGAGGCGCACACATCTACGCAAGCAAAGAAGCTGATCTTAGCAGCTGCTGGAGTGCCCGACTCGGAATGGGAGCAGACCTTCAAGAAGCCCACCGGCGGAGTATTGACCGTTCAGTCGGAGATGGGCCAGCCGATTCACAAGCTGGCAACCCGTGGAGTTCGGCTGTGGCATGAGATGGACAGGACTATCTTCAGCTTGCCTCGGGACAAACGAGTTGCTGCACTCCTTGCGCGTAAGCCTGAGATCATACGTCGCCTCAGTGCTGATTTTGCCAAGCCGTGGTTTGGCTACAATGCTGCTGGTGATGCCGTTGACCTAGAGGACATGACGTATACTGAAGTTATTGCTCGTTTGATCCGGTTAGTGTATGTTAGTCACCAACACCGGTGGATTGACGTATCCTACCGTCAGCTCGTTTTGGACTTCACCTACCGAACGCTAGAACGTGTCTCCGATATCGTTTATGCGACGGATAAGCTTGACCTCAGTGAGCCTGAACAGTTCGTCGAGCAGGTGCAACAACTCTGCCCTGCCGCGACCACACGTCGTCTACATCCAGACGATGTCCGCTTCTTTCTTACAGCCTGCAAAAAGCGTGGTCGAAAGCCCGTCAACTTTATCCCAGCTTTGGATGAGGACTTCGAGTACTGGTTCAAGAAAGACTCCCTGTGGCAGTCGGAGGATGTGGATGCAATCATCGACCAGGACGCTGAGCGGGTGTGTATCCTCCAAGGCCCCGTGGCCGTGCAATACTCGCGTCGGGAAGACCAGTCAGCCAAGGATATCCTTGATGAGATCCACCATGGGCTTGTAGACCGTTTCGAGGAGGAGCGGCCTCAAAGGGAGCGGCCTCCGTTGGCCATATCGGAAGTGGTCTCATCCCAAATCACCGTGACGGAAAGCAACACCCATCGTATCATCCGTCCTGCATCTGAGAAACTGCCATCTGTCGAAGACTGGCAAGCATTCCTGGCCAGCCATGTCACGGGTGGCGTCCGAAGCGTTATCATGGCTGAGCAAGTCACACGAGGTTCCCAGAGACAAGGGAATCCTTTGCGCCGAGTTCTAGAGCCACGGGTTGGGCAATCAATCCAGCTACCCCTAGGCGGCAGTGATCTACTTCTAGTAGAAGATACGCAGAACCGTCCCCTAGTCCACATCAAGCCCAGTGGTGCTGAGGAGGTTGCTGTAGACTTCTATTATTATGACTTCCTGGAGACCCCTGCCGTTCTCCGATTCACGTACCAGTGCAATTCGAAGAGTCTTTCCTTGGTAGAGAATCTCGAGGGACGTGACGACCGAGTGAAATTGTTCTATGCTCATCTGTGGCGCGGTCGTGCCGATCTCAGTTCCCACCGGCTGAGTGACGTCTTTGAGGGCGAGGAAATCACCCTTTCGTCTGATCTTCATCGTCACCTTCACAATGCTCTCCGTCATACAGTCCCAGATGCCACTGCATCAGCTACAACAAACACCTTACCCCTCGAGGCCGCGATTATTGCCGCTTGGAAACCCCTTATGGAGCCGCTGTTTGTTGCAGAGCTCCAGGGCGACTTGCTCCGCCTCGTCCATCTTTCCAATAGCATCCGGTACGCTCCTGGCGCCACTCCACTGGAGGTCAACGATGTTGTCGCCACCAAATCGCAGGTGCGTGCAGTGACCATCAAGGAAACTGGCAAGACGATAAGTGTCGAGGCGCAAATCCTTCGGTCCAAGACGCTAGTGGCCACTGTGACTTCGGAGTTTTTCATCAAGGGATCGTTTTCCGATTACGAGACCACCTTCAGTCACCAGGATGAAGCCGCGACTGAACTAAAGGTGCAGTCCGCGATAGATGAAGCCCTTCTGCGAGACCGTGAATGGTTTCTCTTGGATGACCCTACACAGTCATTGATCAACAAAACCCTCGTCTTCCGTCTCCACACCGTGACCCGGTGGAAGGACCAATCTACCTTCGCTAGCCTGAAGACCACTGGATCGATCTACGCCAAGCATTGGAATGGCACCGTGCAGAGAGTGGGAAGCGTTGTATCCCAGCTGGCTGAATGTCATGGCAATCCCGTGATTGACTTCCTGCAGCGCAAGGGCACGGTGATCCAAGAGAAGGTGCCTTTGAAGCACCCAGGCCTGATCGATAACGGATCGAGGACCATCCGCTTACCATTCAATAACTCCCTCTACAGCTCCGTATCCAAGGACTACAATCCCATCCACACCTCCTCTGTCTTTGCACGTTTCGCAGACCTTCCCGGCACTATCACCCATGGCATGTACACCGCCGCCGTTTCGCGTGCGGTCACGGAATGTCTGGCAGCGGACGGTGAGACGGCTCGGCTTCGAAGCTTCTCCGCGTCCTTCGTTGGGATGGTGTTGCCAGGCGACCAACTCACGGTCCAGATCCGACATGAAGCCATGTGTCACGGGCGCATGGTACTCTCCGTTGCTGCATACCGAGAGGGTACCGATGAGAAGGTACTGCAAGGGGAAGCCGAAGTGGAGCAGCGAACTTCCGCGTACCTGTTTACTGGTCAGGGCAGCCAGGCACAGAGCATGGGAATGCAGTTGTATGAGTCGAGCCCGGTTGCTCGAGCAGTATGGGATGAGGTTGACCGCCGTCTCCTTGATCAATACGGTATGTTGTGTTCTAATCACCCACATCCCTGAAGACTCGCTGTTTCCATGGCTACGATGATCGTTATACGTAGGAAAATCCTTCAGAAGCTGACATTAACATATCTAGGGTGGTCAATCCTGAACGTTGTCCGTGCCAATCCCAAAGAGATCACCATCCACTTCCGTGGGGCTCGTGGCAGACGAATCCGCGACAACTACCTGGCGATGAGGACGGAAACCAGAATGCCCGACGGTTCCACAAGGCTCGAACCTATCCTTCGCGATCTTACGCCCAAATCGGAGTCGTACACCTTCTTCGACTCCCGGGGCCTGCTCTATGCCACGCAATTTGCTCAACCGGCTATCCTACTAATGGAAAAGGCCGCATTCGAGGATATGAAGGCAAATGGTCTCATCCAAGAGGGGGCTGCCTTCGCAGGCCACTCTCTGGGCGAGTACGGAGTCCTAGCCTCATTAGTTGACTTCTTGCCGTTTGAGATGATGATGAGTGTCGTCTTCTATCGTGGATTGGTGATGCAGTTCACCATGGAGCGCGACTCCAATGGACATACCGGGTTCTCTATGGTAGCCGTCAGTCCGAAGAGGGTGGGCAAATGTAAGTTTTGTTTCTGTTTCGCTCTGGCATTTTTCAGCAGACTCACACTGGCACAGATTTCGATGAAGCCATGCTACGCATCGTCGTGGACTTGATCCACCGACAAAGTGGCAATCTGTTGGAGATCGTCAATTTCAATGTTGAAGCCGAACAATATGTTTGTGCCGGACACGTAAGTCTCAGCCCATTACATTCCCCACATCATGCTCATGAATTCCAGGTCCGCAACATTTACGTCTTGACCGGCATCCTCGACCTTCTATCCCAATCCAGCACTGGCCCTCAGCTCGTAGACTCGCTCCGCCGCGCTGCAGATCCCACCATCACTGACGTAGCCAAAGAGATTGCCGTTCATCTTGAAAAGGCACCCCAATTGAATAACCCCACTGAATTGAAAAGGGGGCGAGCGACTATCCCATTGCAAGGCATCGACGTTCCCTTCCATTCGTCACACCTTCGCTCTGGGGTGTCTGTCTACCGACGATTCCTGGAAGAGCGCATCCAAGCAGAGAATGTACAGGTCGACCGCCTGGTGGGCAAATTTATTCCCAACGTCATGGGGAAACCGTTCGCTATTGATCGACCGTATCTAGAAGAGGCTGCAGCGGTCACGGGAAGTTCAGTGTTGCGGGAGTTGGCGCTAGCAGCATGATGTATTATTAGTAGTATCGAGATAATCAGAATGACAACTTTTATGATGATTGACGATGACGTATAACTTGTGCAAGCTTTTCCAAAGTATCAGCCACCGCCTTCCAACAGCCTGTCCTGTCTATGGCTTGGAAAGTATCCGGCTGTTGTGGAGGTAGGACAAAGTTAGGCTCCCATGGCGAAATTTGTCGAGAAACCCACAAAAGTTCTGCCTGATTCGGCGAACGGGACCCTCCGTCTGTCTCTCTGTAGGATTGTTGTTTGGATTATTGCCCCTGCCATATTTTCCTTCTTGGCTGTCAAACTATACAACTTACAACTTGACAACCCGCTTCAAGTTGAGCTACCGTCTGTATCCCAGGGCAACTCCAGTTCAGCCGGTTTCTTGCGGTTGCACCTCTGCAAAGGTCATCATTTAGTGTTTGTAACGGGGGTTTTGAGGGCTAGACTCAGCAACTCCCAACTTCAGGGGTCAGTTGAAGATTCACGTCTAGACCCATCACATGGCAAGCCACACCAGGCTGAGTATCGGTAAATACAGTCCGAAAATGCTCCGACACCCAATCATTGGCGGTAGAGCTGACCTTCTCGGTTATATACCAATGCTGACGATCAGCCGAGTTTCTGAGAGTTTGCAGATCTGCGGCCTCCCGTCTCAGCAAGCTTGGAAGGACATTGATCGATGAAACCCAGCCAGCAGGGGATGGGTTACTCGCATCGGAGCGTTGTTGTCCTCCGTGTATGGAGTGCCTAACATCCATGCTTCCCGGTTTTACTGGTCGGACATTTCTTCACGCGTGCATGATGCAGGTCTTTCACCATAAGCTTTACTTTGTTAGGAATTTCTGACTCATTTAGTTAGTTAGAGAAGGCATACCCTCAGATTGTGCTATGGTAAACTTCACGCGGAAAGGTAAGCCACTAGCATTCTTAAAGAAATCCTTCCATCGCGGCGCCTCCCGTGTTCGTCGTGGAAGCACAACAGCCCCTATATCTCGTATTCTTGGGACTAACGTGGCTGACGCGAAGGATGATTAGTTGCAGTAGTAGAGATAAATAACTGTCGAAGGCATCCCAGGATGATCGACGGGAGTTGTGGGCCAGGTCAAAGTGGAGCTCGATAAAAGTGGGCCAAAGAGAAAGCCGTATTGCTTATACCGTGGCCGACCTCGCCAAGCCATCCTCGGCTTACATTAATGGATGGTGAAGCTTTGCACTATATACGCAGTTCCTTGTGAGTTTTTTTGTCAAGGGCCTGCTCCAAAACTATCAATAATATTCATCAGACGCTCATCATGCATGTGTTGGTCCAGCATGTCCGTCTTCCAAACTTTCCAATCAGTGTTTTTGTCCATGCCAAATGCAGCCCAAATGCCTCGAATTAATAGGAGTGTCTCGTTCCAAGAAAAATCAACATCAAGACCAAAGAAAAACCTCCGTAGCTTCTCGTCTTTGCTCATGATATCAGCTAAGTCATCTTCTCCCTTCGCTTTCAAGAAGCGAGCTAACGCATGATCATGGACAGTTAAGGACGATACGCCGTTGTAAATCTCGCCCATTTCAGCGGTCACCAATGAGGGTCCAAAAGCTTCATTGGCAGGAACGACTCGAGCCATTTGCCAATCGATGACCCTGACAATATTCAGCTCGTCATCCACCATTAAGTGGTCTCCCTTGTCATCCACGTGCTTGATGTAAAATTGCTCCGTCGTTTCAATATTACGGTTTGCTGTGGATGCAAGATTCGGGATCTGGGATTTCAAGAATAAAAACACCAAATAAGCATTCACTGGAAAAGATGGGAAAAGCTGACCATCAGCGATGAGGGCCATGTTCTGCTCTACAAATGACGTATAGTAATCTTTGGCAGTAGCGAAAGGCCCAGAAGGGCTCAGAACAAGAAATCGTTCGCTGGCGACGGCTGAAACTATTGGTTTTGAAGGCGAAGGGCCTGGGAGAAGAGATCCGGCCTTGGAAAATGGATGACGCTGCAGCTCAATTAAAATATCGGCCAGTCCATTCCACAACCTCTCCTTGTCGTTGCCATCGTTGGAACGCTTCCCATGTGGCCCTTGCATATTCCAAGTCCTGCCAGCCATCTCTTCCATAAGGATATAGCTGACACCCACTTTGTTATTTGTGTCACCTGCAATTCCATAATCAAAGGCACGAGGAGCAGGCACTGTAGTCGTTTCGGGAAATTTGAGGGTGGCATATTCGCTGCGAACAAGGTAATCGATAAGTAGTTGAGGAATACTGCTATTCATTCGAGGCACCCGGATGAGCCAAACAGAGGCATTCGCGGGGAAGCGAATGCGAGCATGATAGTTGGCGCAGCCCATGAGGGCTCCACGTCCCCACGGAGGTGGGTGATCGATCTCGCATTCGAGACCGCCATTTAGTTCCAAGGCTCGCTCGCAAATAGCAACGTCATTTATTCTCGCTCGAAGATTTTCACTTCGACATGTATATTGACTTCGAATTCATTGTCTGGAAGGGGCTAATAGCAGTCAGGCCTGAGTCAAGTCGAGGGCAAGTGCATGGAATATACCGTGTCCTCGCAGGGATGAGACGGCGGGGTACAATGGGTCACGCAGAACTGATGATTACATTGCTCACAGGGACCAAGGCCCCGGATACTTGGTCGCACGCAACCTGCGACATCACAAGAAAAAAATCGGTCTGGCATGGATGCTCTGGTGAATTTATATTTTATTATCTATATATGACCGCCATACAATACTGTGGCCAACTTATAGCAGTTTCATGTTGGTAAAACGAGTGTAAGTATGTACATGTTTTTCTATGTACAAAAAGCACCGATCTCAAATCTAGGCCTTCAAGTTAGCCTTTCCCCGCCCCAAACGTTCCACAAACTGCGGACCAAAAAGGATGCTGGTTTGAGCAGAATGGGTTAGTTCTCACTATGATATTTTCTTTAACCAATTGAAGACCCTAGAGTATTCTTAGCGATCCTTTCCAGGAGTTTTATTTACCTCAATAGAGGAAGCTTACCAATAATATTTGTTGTTGAACCTTTGTTATTCAGTACTTTCGATGGGCGGTATTAAAATGGTGAGGTTATTAATGGAAGTCACTCTCAGGTCAAATGCTCATGGAAAGGTCATTTAAATCCCCGGTTTGGGCCGAGTCTGGGTGTACACTAGCGGCTTCTTCCGGGATAAGTCTCAGTGCCTCAGGCATCGCACATCTCATTTCTCTGTGTCTTCCCCACTGCTTACTTAACCACTAACTAACTACGACGTCCCAACTTGGGACTGTGCGCAGGTCCATGAGTTGATACCTGAATCTTGTGGTAGCCATACTCTGCTCCCTGTCAGATCCTCCCAATACTTATATTTTCCTGCGTCCATATCGCGCCGACTCCCTACTATGGATTAACCCCACCGATAGCGCGCCCCCGAGTCCCCTCGGTCCTTTTTTGCTTCTTGTGAACCTTCCTCCCCTCCCCGACCCGTTTTTGCATTTCTCCATGACGGCCCGGACGCCTAGCAGGGCGACTGGTGCCCCGGATGATGCAACTCACACCGCCCGAGACCAGACGCAGCAGGATCAGGGGGAACGGAGGGAATCGCCAGCCTTACCCAGTCTCACCAACAAGAAACGCCCGCGGTCTCAACCAGACACCACCTCCAGTCCTGCCTGCAACCAATGTCGCACACGAAAGATCCGCTGTGACCGACAGCAACCAAAATGCTCCAACTGCCGCCGGGCGGACGTCGAGTGCGACTTTGCCACTACCCCGAAGCGCGTCGACCGCACCAAACAATTGCTGAACGATTTCAACGGTGTCGTTGCCCGACTAGACCGCGTTGACAACTCACTGGCGAAACTATCGGAGCAGCTGCAACAACAGCAGCCATGCCGATGCTCTCATTCCCCTGGCCCATCGCAGGTCGATAATCCGTGGGGAGCGCCCGAGCCCGCAGCCATATACACCACTTACACCCCGAAGAGCTCCACCTCGTGTCGATCCCCCCACCTGATGGAGGTCGACAGTTCTGAAGAGCACGATCCAGAGAATCCCCACGGCGATCTGGTCGACTTCGACCAGGGTGGCCAACGCCTGCTGGACTACCCGGCCGCACTGTCACTGTTTAGAAACCTGCAGCGCCAAATCACCCGGCGCCTGACCAAGGATGTGCCGCACGGGTCGGACTTGTGGCAGGTGGTCGCCCAACAACCGGGGTTCAAAGAGAGTTTGGAGTTTCAGCTGGAGCGGTTTCCCTTTGGCGGCCAATGTCACGAACCTGTCATCGTGAGCGATCACCGACCCATCAGTACACCTCCGCGCTACCTATTGGAGCTATCTTTAGATGGCTTCTTACGCCATATCAATATCCATACGCCCATTTTCAACGATTCCGCTCTAGAGAAAGCCATCGATACGCATTACCAGTCTCTGTCAGCCGGGAACAGCGATGCGTGGGCACTCACTTTTACCAATATCATTATTCTGACTGTGGCCCTGGATGCCCGTGTCGCTCGCGCAACCGCCTCCCATCTGGTTAGCATGAACGATGATATGCTCCCTTCTTTCCTGAAGAATTGCGACCGAGCGTTGGCGGACTTGAACCGGTTTACTGGGCCATGTGCAATCAATGTGCAGGTGCTCTTGACTCTGGTAAGGACGGTCATTAAATCCCTAGAAGATGAAGCGTGGGGATGAAAAGACTACCAGGTGGCTAACCGTTGATACCAGGCTCTCGTGGCTAGGGAATTTTATAGTAGCGTGGTCTTTGAAAAGGTCTGTCAGACAGTGTGCCAAGTGGCCCGCTCCACGGGTCTCCATAGGGCTCACGGGGCACGAAGCAAGAGATGGGAACAGATGCAGGAGCGAGAACGACTCTTCTGGGTGGTCTATACCATGGACAAGCAGCGGGCCTTCCTGACAGGGCAGCCCTGTGATCTATACTTGTTCGACTCCGATATCCAATTAAGAAGCTGCGGGGAGCGTGCACCATTCCCGCTGCGGCTCAACGCCGCCTACGTGCATATGATGACGATCTGGGAACAGATTTTCATCAATCTCTATTCTTCCCGAGCTGCCCTGGCCGGCGCGGCCGATCGAAGCCGGCAGGTCCAGCAGCTGTGGGGTTCATTGAATGAATGGAACATCAAATACCATGCGCTCCTAAGCTCGCCCATCCTTGAGAAGATGGCTGACTTGGCGCCCATGCAGCTTGAGTTGAAATACTGTCTCATGGTGAGCCAGGTCCTCGTACATCGCTGTGACTGCCACGCACGCTCCCAGCAAAGGTATCGGGATCCCGCCCGGAATGCTCTCAAACTCATCAGCCAGGTCGCCGGGGAACACCATAGTATCACGCTCGCACGATGTGCGGTCTTAGCCAGGTTTGTTGTATTCTGTCCAGGCCCCCACCCAGTTGCTGACCCTGACTAAGGATGTTTCGGAACTATCCGCTTGTCGCCGTCCATGATCTCTTCTCTTGCTGTCTTCTGGACGGCGAGCCTGACAACACGGAGGATATACAACTCATCCATGAGACTCGCCGCCATCTCGAGCTGCTCCACTATGCGGACTTTCCTCGGGCGTACTTTGCCCGACTTGAGGTCGGGTTGAGATGGTGCACCGACATGCTGGATACCATCAAAGATTGCTTGTCCCGCTCTGCGGCAACCGGCGACTGGGGGCCAATGGATGGCTCTTCCACCGGCCTCTCCGACCGCACGCCCCCGTCAGAGTCTGAACTCTCGTCGATACCTCCGGACGCGTGGGCCTCACTGAACCTTCCGATGGGCCGCGACGAGATCCTTTGTGGGCTTAGCCCTTCAGTGCCCCCAGAGGGATTGCTGGACCCGGGATTTCCCGCTTTTGGATTGACCACGTCGTCTACTGGTGACGGTACCGTCCCTGCATTCACGCATGCTGATAATCCAGCAGTGACGATGCAACCATCGATGTGGGTACCCGCCGAAGTACCCTGTACCTCGTCTGAACCACTTTTTGACCCCGAGTTTACCCGAAGTATAATGTCATGATAGCACTTTTTTATTTGGCCACTATTCCTTATGTCACGACCCAGGCGGCTTTTTTTTTTTATTTCGCACGTTCATCATTATTTCACATCCATTCCGAATGTACTGTATATGAGTTTATGATACCTATCCTTTAGAGCGATGTCGATAACCTACCCCAGATTCAGTACCGATGTGTGACAAAAGCGTTGGCCATCGCGGCTCTAACATCAAAATATATATACCCGTTTGAACGACTGAAAATGCCACTACAGAATACAATGTGTTTAATAGGACTTCATGAGTAAAAAAATCGATATCATTTGACTATGACATATCCAAGTTATTCCTCGGGCCAGAACAACATTCATATCATATTTATTGGAAACACTCAGCAAATTTTCGGTGCCATTCGATGCCTTCCCTCGATTGAGGCCCAATGGGCATGTCTTGTTATGGAGACCTAGTTCTCGACATGATAGGATTGGCCTAGCTAAATGCCTCCCATGGCCACTTCGACGTAGTAATATTAATTCATAGTGAACGTCTATAAGTGGAGCTGCCATTTTAGTGGTATGTACGGAGTATTCTGTACAAGCTTCAGCAACACATGCCCGAGGCACTTACTAGTAGTACTACCGCCGCCTTCGTTCACTTATAGGTTGGTTCTGCCGGCATTATGGAGATAAGAGCGGCGAAGTAGTCGGTGAATGTACTTGGGGCATATCTTTTAATCGGCAATGTGTCTTGCCGTGCACTTTATTCATTATTAAATTATGCTCATCACTAGTACTTTCTTGGGGTCATATCAAACATTTTGCAAACCAGATAATGCCAGTCTAAACTGAAAAGAACACAAAAGGAAAACCCCGAAACCGGGGCAGAGACAAAAAAAAAAAAAGGATGACGGACAGGAGAGTTCGAAATAGCTGGTCACCAACCCAGCAGACGAACCAAAGTTGTCCTTACGTGTGCTTGCTATTCTTGGACCAGGACCGAATCCGAGCACCGTAGCGATAGAAGAGCACCGGAATCGGGATCATCGCAATACTGATGAATCCGAGGGTGCTCGATGCCCAGGCAACGCCAAGATTGTGATACATGAACGGCCCAAAGAGGGGGAATCCGGCGCCAAAGAAGCTACGCACAAACGTGTTGGCACCGATCGCGCTGTTGGCGATGGTCGGGTACACGTCGACCAGGTAGTTCAGACACTGCACGAAGACCATGTACATGCCTGTGCCGACGGGGGCACTCCCGATGACCATGCCCGCCCAGTGGATGTTGGGATTGGACGTCCAGGCGAAGATGAAGAGACCGACGGGGAGCAGACATCCTCCGGCGATCATGAGCGGCAGTCGTTGCTCGGGGACTACTGCTTTGTTCCCGTCGTAGTTGCGTCGCGTTTGTATGACCACAATGGCGCAGCCGATCAGAATTCCGACCATCATGCCGATATATGGGAGGGCGCTGATTCCTAGGGACCAGCCACGAACTTCCCGGAAGGCGATGGGATACGAGACGAACACGAGGTATAAGATGCCATAGATGAAAGCCTAGTACGTTTGTCAGGAGATGAGTGTGCCAATGTTCTATAGCGGGTTTCCTTACCTGGTAGATGGTGACCAGGAGAAGAATCGGTTCGGTAACCAAAAGCGCTGTGTACCGTCAGTAAGTCTGGAGTCGCACGAGGAGGAGTTTACTAACCAAATGGTCTCAGCAAAAAGATGACGAAGATGTCTTTGATTCCCTTTTGCTTCCCGTCAAACACCGTGTGGACGTCCGGGTTGCCGGCCTTGCGGAGGGCTGCAGCCCTTTTGCGCAAAATGGACCCGGCAAAGGTCTCAGGCAGTCCAAAAACTACCAGAATTGTACATGACCCGCCCATGATGCAACTGAGCCACTGTGTGAACCGCCATCCCAGATAGCTTTCCACGATAAAGTTTCCCATCAACGGGGCCAACACCGGACTACCAAAGATTGTGCCAATACAACATGCCATTGCCACACCTCGCTGCGCGGGGTTCCACATATCCACCAACGAACCTCCGACAAGTGACAAGGGCGCCGCACCGAAGACTCCCGTGAGGAACCGCCCGATGAGAACCGTTTGCAGATTCTTTGCCACGGCCACGGGTATGCAGAAAATGGTGAAAAGAGCCATACCGATGACCATGGGCCATTTGCGGCCGAATCGCTCGGACAAGGGACCCCATACAGGCGGACCAACAGTGTAACCCTATCCAGTCAGCATTCTACTCAGACGGGAAAAAGGGATGATGGATACTACCTACCAGCAGGAACAAGCTGATTCCAAGTGTCACAACCGTACTCCCGACATGGAATCGCTGCGCGATTTGGCCGCTTCCGCTGCTGAAGATACTACTGGCGATACATGTGCAGAGATTCCCATAGACCCAGATGGCTGTGACGAATGCCCGGTATCCGAAGGACCAGTTTTGGGGATTTTCTGGATCATCTGGTCCATTCCAGGTGACTAGGTTTGGGTCTGTCTTGGGTTCGGCGTTTGAAGGAGCTTTCTGGCTTTCGATGTCGGTAGGCTCCGATGATAGTCGACTACCCGGATGAGGAGAGGGTGGAGAGTCTGGAGAGACTACAGGCAACCCTGCTACAGCCATTGGGGACGAATATGTCGAGGATGAAAATTAGAATAGGTAGGGAGGAAAGGTTTTCGACTCGGATCAAGTATGGTTCACGGCCCCGCGTATGAAGAACAAATCTAAAAGAAAATAAAGCAAAAACCACCAAATTAATAAAAATAGGTGAGCGGAAGGATTCAATCCAGAATTAACCCTTCCTTGTCATGAGAATAGTGTTTCTGGTCCTCCTCCAGCCTTTGTCTTGGCAACGGATGGACAAGTACTATATACTCCCATCAGCTCTGGAGATCGTCCCGTACACCGCGTACGTACGCGGTGCTCGGCCGCCGTACCCCGAGCCATTAATCATCGGGCTTGTTGCTCCTTCGTCAGCATTGTGAGTGTTCCATCTCCACTTGGTCAGAGTCAGTTGGGCATGGTAATCATACCATTACTAAACTGTTAAATGAATAATTGGCTCCCCTTTCAAGGTTCAACTGAATGATCATGCTACATTTGCAACTTGCCGACAGACCGTGAGGGCTTTGGTGAAGCACGTGACGCGAACTGTCGGCGCCCTCATCCGCTCTTTAGTAAGCATCTCACTACTCCATGTCTACAATCTATTTGGTCTGAATTCAGTTCTATTGTAAAGTTGGGGTTAATTGATTTGGCATGAGTAGAATGACATGGAATCTCTTCACTAGAATTTCATATTTCAAGTAGCTTTGTAGTTTTCTAGACAGATAGTATTATAGCCCCAACATAGCCCTAACCCCGACTCGTGTCGCTATACAAAGTGAGATGTGCAACACAGCAACAGGCAACTGCCAACTACCATGGATTTGTATCTTCAACTGTTCCAAATCTTTCCACCTCACAGCTGCAACACGAGGGTCCAGAGGACGGGCCGCAATAGCAGAGATAGCCAAACTCGGTTGAGATATCAAATTTGGGGTTGAACAGCCCACAAGGATGCTCAGAATGCCAGGCAATGTGGTCTAGCTTGGTGATCTATACCCGAGAAAGGATAGCGTAAAGGTACTCAATGTTACTTCTAGTCGTCTTGTGGGAAATTAGAGATTACCAATCGTATATTACCAATCCTGGATGGCCACTGAAGGCAGGACTAATTGAAGCAGAACGGATTTCTACTGTACTCAAGTGGCCAGTGGACCTCCGCCGCTGCAAGGGCCCAGATTAGGCTGAAGAGATAAATATTGCCTGAAATTCAAAATCTAGATTATATTCTATTGCTAATTCGTTGACATACTAATCATGACTGCTTCCTGTAAATATCATACCACGTGTGCTACAGCTCACCGCTGATCAATGCCAACAATTCTGACACATCAGCTGAAGTCTCCAAAGACAAAACCGAGTTCTCAATTCTCTGCAGTCTCTCCGAGTCAATCACGGAGCTCGCCAGCTTGCGCCACTTCTCACGGATCTCCTCATCCGTGATGGGCGGATCGAAACCTTTCGGCATGGCGACCACATCCTCCACGGTCTCCCCATCGTTAAACTCGACCACGATGCGGGCCCCGCAGAGATGACCCGGCTTGTCGAACTCCGAGCTATGGACACAAGTCGTCTTGTCGATGAGACTCCACACAGCATCACTGTCCAAAGCATGAGGCTCGAACTGATCGAGCAGCACCTGTCCATACACCAGCTGCGCGGCACCAATGTACGCCGCGTTCATCTGGCCGCCCGTCGCAGTCAACGGCCGCTCCTCCGGGGCCCAGCCATCGTGGGCAAACACCGGCTCGGAAAGGGAAACCGTAATGCGACGAATATTCTGTAGCTGGTCCACGGCAAATCGGTCAGGGTAGTTCCGCTGGAGCTTCTCCAGGGCTTCGATCTGTCCGTGACAGCCGCCGACACAGGCATGCAATTTCACGCGGATATTCTTCGTCTGCCACTCCGTCCCCAGGGCAGTCGTTACCTCGGCAGGCTTATACTGCGGACTCCGGCCGTTTCCTTGTGTGAACATGGTGAGAAACCCACCATAGCTGCGGTCGAAGACCTTCTTGATTCCCACGTAGCCGTCGCGAGCCAAGAGCGCGCCGAAGAGCCCGTTGCGAGCGGCAAACGCGTGCTGTACCCGTTTCACCATCCCCTCATACTGCGCTGCCATCAGCCCGCCCGCCTGCGTGCAGGCGATCCCGACCGCGGACTCGGTGTCATCCGGACTGAGTCCCAGTAACTTTGACGACGCAGCTGCCGCTGCTGGGGAACCGAAGACCGGGCCTGAATGCCATCCCCGTGAAAGCAGATCCGCGCCGTACATGGCGGATCCGACTCGAGGTCCCGTTTCGAATCCCACTATAAGGGCAACGAGGAAATCGAGTCCCGAGACGACGCCCTTCCTGTGTCCTTTGGACTGCACTTCCGCTGCGGCGAATAATGCAGGCAAGAGGACACTGGCGGAGTGGAGTGGTGCGGCACTGTGGTAGTCATCTAGCTCTACGGCTTGGATGAATGAGCCGTTGAGAATGGCCGCCGCTTGCGGGCCGTACCGCTATGTACAATTAGTCATTAATTTATTGTCTGCATATTGGATGAGATATACCCTCTTGTAGCCTATCACACTACAGTATCCTTCCGGTTCGTAGTCATCAATCGCCTGGGCGGCTTGCTCGGACCACGGGACGTGAGATCCGACCAGGCCACAGGCGATGCCGTCGAGCAGGAGGTGTTTGGCTCGTTGGAGGACATCTGCAGGGATGTCTGACGGCTTAAGGTCTGTCACCCAGTTGCAGAGTTCTGCGGTGACGTTGCCTTCTGGCGTGGAGTCTGTGACGGTCATTGTGTGTTGATCGTAGTGCTGAATACAGGGAATATGCACTTTCCCTCTCTCATTGGGCAGTAGAGGTCTTACATAAATAGAGGTGTAAGCGGCCCCCTGACCCCGAGACAGTTCGTAGTATTTCCTCAACGCGGGTCCTCGGGGGCGTACGCCTTCTTTTCGCGGACCGGCGTCCGAGTCGCGGGAAACATGGCGTTTCTTGAAGTCGAGCAGAACGAGAGTGTATGCAGATTGCGGGCGTCATCCGCCGAAGGTCAAGCAGTGAGGATAGTTTAAAAAGTAATGTTCACCAGACAGACAGGAGACATTGTGACAGATTCACTCATCCTATGGAACAGATTCAAAGATGCTCTCCTATACTAGCCACTGTTTGCAGACACTGCTCGGGGTCGCCTCCCTGCCCTACCGGCAATACCTGGGGTACTCCAGCCCTCAAGCACCCCTTCAAGCAGCGCAAAGCGGACCCCCAGTCACCACGCTCGTCTCGTCGTGCGCGGGGTTCAGCTACCCGGAGGTTGCCTGCATTGATCGATACGGATCGCTCCTCCAGGGCGAGTTCGAGCGCAAAGTGCGTAACGTGCTTGGCGACGCCGACACCTACATCTCCACCAATGCGCCACAGGAACCAACCTTCTCCGACCTGCTCAATGCCGATTTCCTGGTGTGGAACCAGTCGGCGGCGAAGGCCATCCTCGGTCCCAACCCCAGTGTCGAGTTCATGTTCAGTATCGAGGACTGCTCCCACGAGGCTCCCGTGTACGTCCCCACTACTAACGAACTGTACTTCTCCCGCTTACAGCAAGGATTCCTGCCTCAACTGGTGATTAACTTGAATAATGATCCACCCACCTTGGAAGAGAAGCTCGCCCAGCCACCCATCTACGCAGCCACGGGGGCTCGATTCCGCGACGGGCTGCTCTACCTCGCCACGATAGGTGGAAACGAGTCACTTGCGGGCTACACCTTCCGGCCAGGTCTGTATACATTGAACCCGACCACCGGGGAAACCCAAGCTCTCTTGAACAACTACTACGGGTATTATTTCAACGCAGTGGACGATCTCGACATCGATCACGAGGGTCAGATCTGGTTCACCGACAATGGTAATCCTTTTCCCCCTCCCCTATTCTTCCCTCCTCTGTCAATCTAGATAGTTAATCTGTTCTACAAACAAGACTACGGCCGCCCATGCCAAGTAAACACCTACGCCCCGCAAATCAACCCAGCAACCTACCGCTTCAATCCCAAAACCGGGCTCGTAACCATGGTCGACGACTCCCTCCTCGAGCCCAACGGCCTCACCTTCTCCCCGGACAACAAAACCGTCTATCTCACAGACACGGGTGCCGGATCCGCCATCATTGATCCGAACATCTACCCAGCTCCGCACATCGCCTACAACTCCACGCGCAAGGGCCGCACCATCTACGCGTACGACGTGGCCCCATCGCGCAAGGCGCTGCTGAACAAACGACCCGTCTACCTTTCCATGGAGTATGCACCAGATGGAATCAAGACGTCGCGGGAGGGATATCTTGTCTCGGCGACGGGCAAGGGCATCGTGGTTTTGACGGACGAGGGCGAGCCCCTAGTGCGCGTGCAGACTAATTTCACGGTGATTAATGTTGCGTTTGCGGGGGCGGATCGGGACGAGCTGTGGGCGATTGGGAAGGGAGGTGTTGCCAGGATTCGATGGGGGCTGAAGGGATCTTACGCTTAAAATCTTCGTTCATGACTTTGGGTCGCGTTCTGTTCGGTTAATATTGGTTTTGATGACATTTCATGTTAGGCGTTCCTTTTTCGTTCAGTGAGATTTCAAGTTGTTTTTCTTTTTTTTTTTTTTATCAGCGAAAGAGATCGAAAGAAATATAGAGATCTTTATTATCCCTGAACAACAGGTGCTTTTCCGTTCGCTTATTGTAGTAGATGGTGGACGAACACTGTGCATTTAGGGTTGGTATGTTCCCTAACCCCGCGCCAGAGGACCGCGTACACGGACTCGTTCTATACGATAGATCAGATCGTTTCAGCTAGATTGAGCACTGTGCTCCGCTGGGGCGGAGTCAGCCCCGCCGGAGATGATATGATGCTTGTACAGACGGTTCAATTAGATACGCCGCGTGGAGGCAAACCCTCGGAGAAGATATGTTGCTTTGCATACGGCGGAATTCCGAACGTTCGGGTAGAGTTAGACCGTCGGAGATGATTTGATGCTTGGTATTAGGACTCCCGACCTAACTAAGATACCTTAATAAAATTATACTCGCGCAGATAAGTGTCCACCAGTCTCCGATGATCATACAATCCCGGACCTTCTTTCGCCCGCTGCCTTTCCCAGGCCCCTCGTAGTGGATGTTATCCAGAACATCATCCAGATGAATGACCCTGCTCTCACCGCTTTGTTGACCGCCTCTTAATTGCCGGGTTTTCTATAGCGTGGTGAAAGATAATGAATTTCTTATTCTCTTTGTAGCTTCTGTATATCAAGAATGTAGGTTTAATATCTTGTCTTTAGGTGTTTCGTATAATAGTTCACTGACTCTGATTAATAAAACGAGAAAACATTGCAAGTTTAGTATCTATTGACTACTAAGTTCTTTCGCATACATCTGCGACGCACGTAGCAATATATATTTCTGGTAGCACGAGACGTAGTAAGTAGTACGCATTCTGAGGACTTTCCCCTTGAGTAATATCGACAAAGAACTAGAAAGTTGAATCAATGGCTGTACACTACTTTCACTGTAAAGCATATAGAGATTAGGACCTCAGTGTGGTAGAACCACGCTTGAGCTCACCCGTAGACTGTAATATGATGACGTTATACTTCTATCAGGACGATCTACTATCTGTTATCTCTAGATAGCCGCGAAAGCGGTCAATCAGGTGGTAAAATAGGTCTATCATGCGGAGTGACGTCATGCTGTAAGTGCTCCAACTGCTTCTCGGTCTAGACTCTACATGTACGGTATACGTATTCAACATCTTTAGATGGAGCGTTAATTTGGGTCATATTTGATAGAAACCATATAATTCACAATATAATATTCCTCTTGAATGTACTCCGTACAAGCATATCTAATAAACCATTTCTCTTTCTTCATAATCCCATTCTCAAAAGACCAAGAAAATAACAATCAGTGCTTCACCTCACCCAAGGACTCGCCCAACGCTTGGCCATTGACAATGACCGGCTTGGCATCCATGGCAATATACAAGGCGCGCGCAAACTGCGTCTTGCTCGGGTTGCGCCAGCAGTGGTTGGTACCTCTCTGCACGGCAACATCGCCCCTCTTCATCAAACGCTTCTCGCCGCCCTCCACCTCGAGCTCGAGCTCGCCCTCGATGACCACTCCGAAGTCAACGGTCACCGTGCGATGCCACATGGGCTCACAGCCCGGGTGGTAGTCGACGTAGCGCACGACGGCGCCGCCGGGGATCATGAAGGGAGGGTGGTTGACGAGGTGTTCTTTGTATTGGTTCAGGTCGGCATCGTGGCTGAGGGGAGCGGGAAAGCTGCCGAGCGTGTAGGCGAGGAAGAAATCGACGCCAATGTTGGTGCGTTCCCATTCGATTGGCTCGGGGACTTTGGTCTCGAAGGTGGGGGTTCCGTCCTCCTTGTGGGTCGTGATAAAGCGGTGGACTTGGGGGAAGTCTTTCTCAGGAAGGGAGCCCATTTTGAAGTGTGGTGTTGGGTGGATTGAGGGGTTTTTTTCTTGAGGAGTTGAGTAATTGGGTAATTGATTGTTTGCTTGTGGTGAGTTGAATTGGATTGCAATCCTTGGGATGTTATTTATGTCTCCCATGGTTTGCACGGTGTCGGTCGTCGGAGGACGATGGTTCGGAAGCTTGTTGTCTGCTCGGCGGCGATTGAACCGTGGGCGGAGGTCGGCGCCCGAGCCCCGCATGCCTTATGCAAGCATTGACGTGGGTGAGTAATCCAGGACCGTTGCTCATGTAATTCGTATTAGCTGAGAAATCTTTTTCCTTTGTTTGTCATTTCTTGTCACTTTATGATATTTTAGTTTAGTTATTATGCTGCCGTCTTCTGAAGTCCATGTTGGGAGGGGTTTTCTATCGCTGAGGCTTTCTTAGGGTTTAGGGTTTCGCTGCCCACGTCCGTCTACTACTCGACGTCAGCACTCTACTTTTCCTTCCCTCTTAAATAACCTCCTGAAAATGCTTTCCAAGGATCCTTCCTGATCGCCATGGTAGAATGGCCCCTGATTGATGGACCTTGGTATCTACCAACCAAATTTAGCCCTCAACCAACAAAACACAATGGCTACCGAGTTGATTTGTTTCAATACTACTCTAGTGCTTATGCTTGGAAAAAGTCAAATGAGAAAGCCGGTGACGGTATAATTGAATCTATGGAAAAGCATCTCCACCAAAAGGTATCCACCTCCATGAGGAATGGATCAAGAATAGTCTGACAAAAATCTAAAAATATCTATGAAAGAAGAAAAGAAGGGGAGCGAAAGGAAGAAGAGAAAAAAAGAAAAAAAAAAAAAAAAAAAAAAAAAAAAAAAAAAAAAAAAATAGAAAAACAAGGAAAAAAGAAGAAATTTACATAGGAAAGGAAAAGGAGGGAAAGAAGAAAAACAATCACAAATCCCACTCTTACTGCAGAGCAGGGCCAGTCAAGTTCAGCTTGGCTCGTGCCACAGCGCCATGGCCAACAATCCACAGCTCATCCAAGTTCTTACCACCAAAGACCGTGTTCACAGCTGTGAAATTAGTCTGGATGCTCACCACTGGTGTGCCAGTGGGATCAAGGATATCGACGCCATGACCCGCGCCGGTAATCACATATCCGTTGCTAGCCACCTTCAGACCGTCAGGAACGAAGTCCTTCGCGGTATGGATCGGTCGGCGGTTCTTGAGGTACGAGCCGTCCTCGCTCACATCGAATGCGTAGACTGTGCGTCGGTTGGTGGAGTTGTATTGGAGCGATGGCACCTCGCTCAATGGCACTTTCGGGTCAATCATGGTGACACCGGCGTCAGTGTCCGTGAGGTACAGTGTTTTGTAGTCGGGAGAGAAAGCAACACCATTGGGACAGTGCAGTGTGTCATCGACGATCTTGACTTCCCCGGTTGCTGGGTCGTACCGATAGACTGAGGCCTGGACCTGAGGGGCGAATGTTGAGGTACCGAAGTTGCGGGCGAGGACTATAGCTGAATCAGTATGGACGCAAATGAGATTCCAGGACCAGGAACTTACAAGGATCACTAAACCAGATGCGACCGTGCTGGTCGATATCCATGTCGTTGGCCTGGATGGAAAGTTAGCTCGTGAAATCCACTAAGCGTGTATCGGGTACTGTCGGTGGGCATGCTTACCTGGTTGAAGTACCATCCAAAATAGTTGTTGACTTCAATGGTCGATTTGCGGGTTTTGGGATCCACCGAGTAGATTCCAGGATGATAAGGACCCCCTTCTAGAGTGGAATTGCCACCGCCAACAGAGAAATAGATCTTTCCATTCCTGTAGCGGGCCCCGGATGGAGCGTACATAGGTGGGTCGGTCAGAATTGTTGAGAGGGTAGGGGAATCGCCATCTAGACTGATGACCTTCTGGTGGAGCTCCCCTCTACCTAATTCAGAGAACCACACCTCGTTGGTGTCGGGGACGTATACGGGGGCCTCGTGTCCGCCAGTGGAGACGGTAAACATAATATCATACACCGGGTCGGATCCTAGGATCTCGCTACCACGCTGTTGGTCCCAGACGAGGAATGTGGCTTTGCCAACCTGCTGGAACGAGTCGTCACCGGACACCTCGGTCGACGTGTAAGTGTCCACGCTACTCATGTCGGTGCTGGCCTTGCGGTAGAAGTCAAGGGGCATTTTCGATGCATATCGGTACATGCAGGCGACACGTGGGAAGCTGTAGCCGGTGCAGGCTTGAACCAGGGGGGTGGAAGTGTTCCCGGCAGATGCTAGCGGGGCTATGCATAGCGCCAGGGAAACCAATCGCAATGATAGATGCATGATGAAACACGTGGGAGTTTCGCGGAAAGTTCTTGAGATACACACTGGAGGAGTTGATGTTGATACTACCCGAATGAGCTGAGAAACTACCCACTACTTATACTTCGTCTTCTGTCTCCTGAATGACAGACTCAGGTCCAGCTGAAGTATAACACTGCCTTCCAATCTCCTGTTGGGGGCCGAATCCTTCATTATCTTACGTTCTAGATGAGATGCGTCGCGGCTCGAGCACTATGTTAGACTCGCGCCAATGCATCAACCACATGGCAGTCCACGTTGTGCCAGGGGCTAGACAGGGGTGGCCTGAAATGCAGAAATCCTGCAGGATTCTGCAGGATTCTGTGACACAACTCAAATTAGGCTGACGATTCGCGATGCGTGGCGTCGGAGGAAGTAGGTTGTTCGGAGAAAGTATGTCGTTCGGAGCAACGACGCCGCTTCGTATCCGCGTGTCGCTCGCCGAGACCCCGTCCATGACGCTCCGCCCTACGCAGGTCCACCAAGCTCGTTGAACGTACGCAAAGACACAGAGTCCGCGTATGGCACTCCCCAATGTAGCCTCATCGCGCAAAGAGACATGCTGACATGCAGACATACTCCGACAGCTGCTTCATGGGACCGCCGTCGGATGAGATGGACAATATGGCATGATTCTACGTTGAAATGTAGACATAAATAGCGTTGTAGTTGCCATCGATTTGCTCTCATCATCAGCACGACAAGAATCAGAGCATAGCAATCAGACAAACAACCGACTCAAACTCAATCTTAATTACCAATCTTCAATTTTCACAAGATGCACTCCACCAAGGTCACCTACCCCGAGCCTATGCAGCTCACGGGCATCCTCGATCAATACGAGTCCTTCCAGGTTACACCCTGCATTGGTACTGAGTTCCCCAAGGCGAACTTGGCTGAATGGCTCTCCTCGCCCAATGCCGATGCTCTGTTGCGCGACCTGGCCATCACCAGTAAGTACCGTCATATCTCGCAGCAAAACGATTGGAGATACTAACCAATCATTGTAGTCGCGCAACGAGGCGTCGTCTTCTTCCGTGCACAGACTGACCTGGACGGAGAACTCCAGAAGGAACTCACCCATCGTTTGGGTGTGCAGTCCGGCAAGCCAGCAGGCCACCGTCTGTCCAAGCACCCTCTCCACCTCATCCGCAAGGATGACCCTGAAATGGGTATCCTTGACCCAGGCCGCCAGCAGAAGCTGCACGCCGTCGAGAACAGTCAGAAGCGCCAACGCGCCGTCCTGGAGTACCACAGCGATGGCTCCTATGAAGTCTGCCCCCCTGACTTTACCATGCTTCGCATGACCGAAATCCCCCCCACTGGTACGCTACCCACTATCCATCTATTGCACTTCATTCACTGACGAATCAAGGTGGCGACACCCTCTGGGCCTCTGGATATGAGCTCTACGACCGTCTCTCAACCCCCTACCAGAAGTTCTTCGAGTCTCTGACCGCCCAACACGAGGTTCCCTCCCTGCGCAAGCTGGCTGAAACCGAGCCCGGCATCTACGATGGCCCTCGTGGCGCGCCCGCCAACACCGACATGCAATTCAAGCAGTCTCACGTATGTAGCCTGTCCTCCAATTGAACCCCTGGGATTCTATCTAACTATCCATCTATCCATAGCCCATGGTCCGCACCCACCCCGTAACAGGCTGGAAGACCCTCTTCGCAGGTGGCCTCCACTGCCGCCGCATCAACGACGTCACCGACTTCGAGAGCGAGCAGCTCCTGAGCAAGATCATCTCCCTGGTCGGCGACAACCACGACCTGCAAGTCCGCTTCCGCTGGAACAACCCCGGCGACGTTGGTGAGTAAATGCTTCGACCCATGCTTAACACCCTGTCTGACGTCGATAGCCATCTGGGACAACCGCTGTGTCCTGCACTGTCCTACCCAGGACCACTACGGTCTCGGAGGCCGCATGGGATACCGCACCATGGGTATTGCCGAGCAGCCTTACTTCGACCCTAACAGCGTTTCTCGCCAGGAGGCTTTGGCTGCCGCTGCTAAGTGATTGCGCAACGCGAATATCTGATCTAGATTTGGTTGTGCACTTGTTTGGTTTGCCTCGCGGTGATTTAGAATGATTTGTTTGTTTTTGTTTATCGATTGGCCTGATGAATGTTGCGGTATGTTGATTTCATAGACTTTGCATAGAATGAGAACAAGTGCTTTTATGTTTTGAAGTTTTGAATATAGTTTTTTTTCCCGTATAGACAGTAGTACTTCTTTTGCACGTAGATCCGAGGAAGTCTGTGTACCCTTTGTTCATCTAGATCATTTCTTACTTAGGGCTCTCGCTACTAGCATTATACAGATTTGATTGAGAAAGGAGCAGAGCTATCCGATTTAAGCGAGGTAGCAGATATTCGTATGTATGATGGCCACATGGCGTTATCTTCGGAGTCTAATATGAGCACGAGAGGCTACTTCCCCGTCTTCGCGCAACGAGTGAGAGCCAAATTAGCAAACAACCGAAATGAAGTTCTACTTCGAAAAGATCAAACACCAACAATAATCCATGCAAGGGCTTGGCGATTGCTAAATATAAAGGGTGTTATGCTTGGTGTTCCAGCGTGGCATAGAAGTAGCAGTGTTTGACAGTGTGGAATAACGTCGTGCGTGGACATGCCTGAATGGACGAAATTGATCTCAATGAAGACGAGGAGGAGGCTATAAGATTTCGTAGACAGCGAAACTGATACGATCTACTCCCAAAGATGTGGATTAATTTAAGGAAACGAATAGTGCCAGGCCGAGTAGCTTGTCTTAGTAGCTAGACGACACACTTCCAGAGCATTGAGTAGGATATATATATCTCTTGGGGATGGTAGAAGAGGGCGGTAACCTATTTCCAATTTCTAATGGATGCAGAAAGAATATTAACAAATAAATCAGGAAGCAAAACAATCATGGCATAGTCTATAGAAAAACTGTATTTGCAAAAGATCATTCTAAACAGAAAGAAACACACAACACAAGCAGGTTATAGCCCCAACGCAGCCCTTCACCAGGAGCCTTTACCCCCTCATCATCTCTCGTGAACCTACTCTTAATCAAAGAGCCGTCTACATCTCCTCAAGAATGCCACTCCGTTTTCGCAGAACTGCCCCATACCGCCACAGGAGGACCGGAACAAGCCCGCCCATCACCAAAGCCCAAAGCGCTAGCAAGGAACTACCCCATCCATACCCAAGCGTTCTATAGATCAAGGGAGCCAGGATAGGCAAGACAAAGCCCAGCAGCGAGCGCAGGATCGTCAGGGCGCCCATCGCCGAGGCTGCGTACACCGCGTAGCAATCCAGTACATAGGCCTGAATACACTGGTAACTCATTATCAGACCAAGGGCGTAGATGCCGATTCCGATATTGGGGATGATCCAGTGGCTGTGTGTCTGGGCGGACCAGCCGTAGATTAGTAGGCCGGCAGGGACGAGAAGGGCGGCTGGGAGCATGAGGATTGTTCGAAGCTCTGGGGTTCCTTTTGCGGGATCTTTGGAGGTGTAGTAGATGTAGATCTGCGAGAGTTAGATATCTGGATGGACTAGAATGGGGACAGGATGGGGTACCCGGTCGTTGAGAGAGCCTGTGATTTGACTTCCGAGGATGAATCCGCCGGCGATGGAGATGTAGTTCAGTGCTGCGCGGGATGGGGTTTGGTTGTAGATGTCTGTCCAGACGGACTCGAATGTCGTGATGGATAGGTGGTTGAGGCCAAAGAGATAGCCCATGAAGAGGGATAGGACTTGTATGATGGGCTGTGTTCCGAGGAATGTAAAAGGTCGTCGAAGATCCTGTCTGAAAACATCTGCTAGACTCTTATGGTGCAGTTGTGGAGAGCCGTGCTGGTCACCTTTGCGGACTGCAGCAGCTTGTTTCCGCTGTATGAGGACTGGCCGGAAGGTCTCGCGAAGGATGCAAAGACCTAGCACCCATGTGACGAAGATGTAAAGTGAACACCACGCGAAGATTGCCCTCCATGACGTGTGGGACACGATGTATGCACCTGTGATGGGCGCGATGGCAGGACCCAGCAGGGGCCCCAGGGTGTAAAGGGAGATGGAAAGGCCTCGCTCTTCTGGAGCCCACAGGTCTCCGATGATCCCTGCGCCGATCTATTTGATTCATTAGCGATCGCCGTGTATGACTGGATGCTACCCACCGACAGCGGAGCGCTACCAACAGCTCCTGTGATGAACCGGAGAATGAGTAACTCGTAATCACTACGGGCGAACGCGCACAGGGCGTTGAAGACCAGGAACAGGCCATGGCCGGTATTCAACAACGAGATGCGCCCGTAGACTTCGGACAAGGGACCGACAACCAGGGGAGCGAAACTCCAGCCGAGAACATACACAGAAACGAAGGCTTGCAGCATTCCTGGGTCGGTAACATTCAAGTCGGTGGCTATCTGGGGCATGGCGGGCACGATGATTGCTGCGATGACCGGACTGATCAATCCATAGATCGAAATCACGGCAATACATAGCCAGCGGTATGACACTGTCCAATTGCGAGGCTCTTCCCACTCTTCCAAGTCTTTCAGGGAAGGGGAAGAGTCCTTGGAGCATTAGTTTTACAAACGACTCGACGCTGGGTGACAGACTTACATCGGACTGGGACAGCAGTCGTGTTCTCTCGTTTACTTCTTCAGCCATGACGCTCCGTGGTTTGGACACAGATTGTACAATTGTCTGTAGGCTTGTAAGAGAGGTTATTGAATAAATATTTACGCCCAAACTGCCATTAGCTGGGAATAGGGAGGTGGCCAAGAATTGTATGAAACGGCGTAATGTACTGCGACTAGAGACTACGACAGAACTATCTATATAATCTTGCCCAAGCATCCGGAGTAGAAGGACCGATGTGAAAAGCTGCTGTGTGTCGGACGCGATCCCCGAGAGAATGTCAGCGCTAGACCCGAGTACGAGCAGGCGAGGCACGGTAGAGATGCAGGTGGACCCTTCGGAGGACACTGGAAGATTTTCGAATCTAGCGCTCAATATTATCGACCATCCACAATTCTCCGAACAATCCAAAAATTCCCGAACATAGCTTATGGTTCGGGTTGAGGCACGTCAAGCAAGAAATGTTTGATTCAATTATCTGTCTACTGCAAGAACGCCGTCGCCGAATAAGTGGAAAGGAAACACACACAAAAAAAAAAAAAAAAAAAAA